GAAATGAGACGAGGTTCACGAGGGTTACGCATATTGAAACGCGCGACGTTGGAACGGCCATTTTAGAAAGGTAGACGCGCCGGGGACGGCCATTCGAGGAATCGAACTATGATCTCCGACAGCTCGCGATTTTTATTTGTCAACCAGGTGAGGAATAGTCCGTGACGTAACGGAGCCAGTGTAAACCAGAGACAGACGTAGCTCGTCGGTTTCTAACGTTTGGTAGACGAACGAAAACAAAATCTGGCCGCTAATTTATAACAAATACTTGCGTCTGACACGTCATAAAATAGAATTACTAAATAAGACGTCTTTTGCACGAAAATTGAACGATCGAGACTCGCGTGAATTTCAATGGTTATTGTTTGGCAGCGCAAGTTTTTATTGCAATTAAAATTAGCAACCACGAACTCTGTATACCCGGTTGCCCTTTGCGTGTCCGCTGTTAATTAAAAAATATTTTTATACGGAATTTAATGTTGTAATTACGCGAAGTGCGCAACGCTTAATTCAAGCATCGTTTAACCCCGCGTAATCGTGCATTTAGAAAGTAATATCGAGATACATCACCGTGCATGATAAATATAATAAGTTTCCAACACCCACTCGTTCTGCGCGTACTTACATCGAAGTCTCCGTAATTGTCGATCCTTATCTGCCTTCGGTTGTCGCGGCGTAATATCGGAATGAATTTCATACGTGCACGCGCTATAGAGTTCCGTATGATTGAAACAAAGCACGTGGACACGTACAGACGGTGTAATAGAAGTTTTATTACAGTCTGTGTTGACATAGCTCGCGTTGGAATATCGAGTAGCATCTGCGTGCTTTTGACGTCAGTTCAGTCGCCCCGGGACATCGTGTTGCTTGCTCGAATTGAGAACCTGGAAATGAAAATATTGCATGAGAATCTAATCGGCCAGGATTAACCTTCGTCCATCCGCCACCTGGAGCTTTACGTTTCGTTCTTATTTCCATGATATCATTGTCAAATTAAACAGACGCAACGGACTTCTGTTGAATCGAGATCTTTCCATAATCAATTTGATATTTGTATCAGAATTTATTCGAATATATTTATATTGCAAATGGACGAAGCAAACTTTATTCTTGAACCTTATCTTATTGGCTTTTATAACTAACTTTCGTCCTGTACCATGTTTCCACGTCTGGAGCTTGTAAACAACTGACTCTATTTAAGGGGGGACCTCTATGTAGAAATCCGAAATTAAACCGATTTTCAAGAATTATTTCCAAGCATAAAGAATTAATAAATATTTGTAAGGTTTTGAGGACTGTTTAGAATATACTTCAATATCATTTTGCAATTTTTTTTGTTCAAATAAAATGCAAAATGGCGGAGATGTAGCATGATTTGCTAGAAGCATCGCGAGACGTCTTCTAAAACGGTGTACACTCTAGTGTCGGTTTTTATTATACGAATCTGCTAAGCAACGAAATATGATTAGTATATAACAATAGTAAGTGGATGAACCGAAGATATTGAGAGAAAATTAAAAATTGGAAAAATGGCAGACCTCAGAGCAAAAAACTTTAACAAAAAGCGTATTTACGTCTACTGCTATGAAAGACATAGTCCAAAAGTAAACACATTGTATATTTCCATAGAGACACGTACGAAAATACGTTAGAGCTACCAAATTAGTGAAAATTATTCGTGTTGTTATCTGAGTTCCTAGAAATCCTGTTGGTCTACGTGTTACCAAAATATTGCAGATACAAATACGATATTAAAGTATTCTCATAGGATAGTTGCATGTTGAGATTAGGATGAACTACATTTACACTACCGTTGATAAGAGCTTCCTTTCCCACAGTTGCTATCAGTACCGTATTACCTGTAGCGTACAATTCCAACGCGTCGCTTCGATAACATGGCAGGCAATCGTCTTCTTGTTGGGCTTGGATGTCCTGTAAACGGCCAGAGAACATGGGTCCTTCGTAAATACTGTTAGGAGACGAGATGATGGCACACTACCTGCGAACTAAACGACGCGAGAGGCAAAGGGGATCGTAATCCCCTCTACTTCTTAGGCTCTCGGTTATTATCGGGTAAGTCGATCGGGAACCAAGTCCCTAAACAAGCCGAGAACGAAGGTCGAGCCAAGAACCTAAACATTAGGAACGTACGGATGATTCCCTTTGACCCTTGCGTGGCTTAGCTTGTGGATAGTATGCCAACATCTCATCTTTTACTAGTATTTATTACTCCCCTGTATTCGTGGGAAAAATAGAATTACGTATGTTTTCATCTTCAGAGAATCAAAAACAAGTAATTGCTTTTATTAATTAGAATTTTATTCCAACGTGTGTCTATTATACTGAATTTTTTTCTCGAAAGTGCGTAAGTTTTCGGGGGTATGTGTATTCACCAAAAATGATTGTAATTGACCCCCACAATCGAAAATAATTTTTCCAGAACGATTTGAAATCTTTTAATTTTGTCGAAAAATTTGTTCACCTTCCTGAATTTTTTTCGCGAAATTGCAAAGGATTTCGAGGGTATGTCTATTGACAAAAAATCATTGTAATTGACCCCCACAGCTAAAAATAATTTTTCCAGAACGATTTGAAATTTTTCAATTTTGTCGAAAAATTTGTTCACCATTCTGAATTTTTTCACCGCAAATGCGTAGGAATTCGAGGATATGTCTGTTGACAAAAAATCATTGTAATTGACTCCAGCAGCTAAAAATAATTTTTCCAGAACGATTTGAAAAAATTGAGGCACTCCCTAGTCGATTTTTCTTAAAAATTCGTCTTTCATTTTTAATAAATTTGTTTGATGCTGTATGGTAATGTTGTCTAATACTTTTTTGTAGGTACCCATCAGCTCTATTTTAGAAAAAAGTTTCATTGAAATATATTCACTATTGCAGGAGTTATGGCTGTTTGAAAAATTGGATCGTTTTATGGGGTTTTTCTCACTTTACGGGGTCAAGGAACAACTTTTCGAATATTCTTGGAATTTCTACATATTTTTCTCTAAAATACACGTTGTTTGCCGTTTGAAAAATTAAAATCCTTCAATTCCTTCAGAAGTTATGATATTTTAAACATTTGCATGACATTTCGAGGAAGCATTTCTTGGGCCAGAAATTATATTTTTAGTAAGGAATTTTTTTTCTCAGAAATGGTTAGGATTTCGAGGGTACGTATATTGACCAAAAATGATTGTAATTCACCCTCTCAACCGAAAATAATTTTTCCAGAACGATTTGAAATTTATTTTTCCGCCGAAAAATTTCAGCACCTACTCGAATTTTTTTCTCGAACATGCGTAGATTTTCGGGGGTATGTCTATCCACCAAAAATGCTTGTAATAGGCCCCTGTAACTAAATATAATTTTTTTAGTATAATTTGAAACTTTTTTTTCACCGAAAAATTTCAGCACTTATCCGAATTTTTTTCTCGAAAGTGCGTATGTTTTCGGGGGTATGTCTATTCACCAAAAATGATTGTAATTAACCCCCTCAACCGAAAATAATTTTTCCAGAACGATTTGAAATTTTTTAATAGTTTTTTAACGAAGCCTCAATCAACAAATTAGTATCCTTAATTTTCGTCTTATTTTGGCCTCTAAAATTTTTCCCAGAGGTGGTCGAACACCCTGTACAATCCATGTTTTCTAATTCCTCGCGTATGCGTATAAACTCTTACAACTATTTAATTCCTTCCACGAGTACGCTACATTGCAAGCATTTAAAAATTTAATACCAGCGTGCATCTTTACAGCAAGTTATCTTGGCAACTAAGCAGAATACATCGTCGACTAAACAAAAATGTTTGAATCGAAACGATGCTTGCGTCGAAATATCCAACACGAACTTCGCCGAACTGCGAATCTGCTAATCTTGCAACGTAACTTTCCTTCTTTGTATCTCAAATTAATTGTCTATACTCGCTGCGTTCAATATTATCGAAAAACTCAGCTGTTAATAACGAGTTAATATTAGAAGATTTTGAATGTGACAAGTAATCAGGGAATCGAAGCCAGCTCGTAGTATAAATATCACCTAACGTCAAGCAGCCATGGAATAATTATTTCCAGAATTAATTAGGGTACACGTGTCCTTGCTACACGTGATTCGCTCCAAGTGTGGCGATCAATATCCATGTGATGGTGGTCGAATGACTCGTCGCCAGGTTTGAAGTTTTGACATCATTTATCTACGTGATACTATCATTAGCACTTTGAAACCTCCAAGCATATCTACGATCCATATAAGACAAGGTTTCATTTTGCACGTTGGATACATCTATGTACACCCTTCCTTTTAATTCATTTTATGACCATAATACGCGACAGAAACGTATTTATCACTATAACTCGATATCCTTACAAAGGACAACAATTAATCGAAATATTTGCACATTTTAAACTCGAACGAGTAACCCGTTCATTGATTTCTAAATGCTCGGTAATTCATTATCTCGAACGGAGATTTCCATACAATATTTATTTAATTTTAATCGTAATCAGTTTCCAGATAATTAAATCGTTCCTTTGCAGTTCGATTTTTAATCCGAATTAGTGTACAGTCGTACGTAGGCAATATTTGTTTATTATATTCGCGAGTTCTTAAAATATTTTGATGACACAATTTGTTCACCCACATTTCTTTAAATGTTATTTTATAATCAGTTTCTTTCTTATTCCTGTGTCTAATTATTATGTTACAGTTTTACTAAATTATAGTAACGAAGACTTCCAGTATGTAGGTTTAACACTAGAACTACCGACAATTATAGTGTGTTTATTTGTACCAAAGAAATTGAAACGATAGATACGCGAAGAAATATACAATGCAATGGAAATAAATTTTCAAAAATTCAGTCAAGTAAATTTTTTACAAATTTTATTAAAAATTACGAATGAGTCATTTTGACTGGTTTGGTAGTTCTAAAGTTGAATAGTATAAGTAGTTCGCGACGAATAATAATTGCTCGTGCTTATCTCTGTCGATAAAGATAATTATATATTATATTTCTTCCGATAAAAATAATAGAACCTCACATTGTTTGCTTCGCGAATAATTGGACCTTGTCGTTGAGACGTATTCCGTATCGCCATTAACCTAATTAAGTTAGTTCTTGGCTATTTTCGTCGCTTTATTTCTACCGTTACCAGTGTCCTTATAAACATATGCATCTATAAATCTACGTCAATATATGTAGCTATACATTCTCGACCTGCATCAAAGACTGTCACGACACAGTGTCCATTTTTGTCCTTCTTCGTAATATACAGAGTAAACAGGTACCGGTTACCTTAGCGCGACGATGAAAAACAAAGAAGTGCTGTTATCGTTATTGCGCCCAATGTGTGCACAGTTTGCCGGAATCGAAAAATTATTACTCGCTTCTGCAACGATGAAACGGGAAACGCGGTTTCAAGTGTCGCGTAGACCGGCATTTTTCTCGTAGTTCTTCGCGCGCATTTTACGACGAACCCACGAACACGCGATACCGATCCTCGTTCGCTCGAAAATTTACGGTCACCGTGGACAAATTTCAACGCGAGTTAAATACGACTGTTCGTCGAAAAAAATTCAATCGTTGTCTTTTTATTACGATTTTTTATCAACCATCCGCCATCTTGGCCCTTCGATTAATCTCTCCGGTCGCAGATTTTTTCGCACCGTACCCGTTCCGATCTGTTCCAGCCGATTTGACTCGAGTGCAAACCGCTTAATGAAAACACGACGCACAGCTCGAACAATGGTCGCGAGTCAATCAAATCGCAATCTTGATCGCTGATACTCTTTCCGTGTACGTTGTAATTTCACGTGTAAAGCGTAGCAAGTGTCGCGAGATCGTATCGGGATAACACATTCATTTTCTTCGCCTTCATTTCTGCAACGATACACGCGAACGTTTTTAATGAATCGTACACAACGTCTTTTCGCAACGGTAAGGTTTTCAACTCGTATTTAAAGTTACACGGAACGCTTCCGTATAATAAATTCAACCATCTCGGTGTCGTTTATCGACGCCTGGAAATCTATTCTCCTGGGTGCAATACAATTTTATTCTAAGTAGAAATACTCTGGCTCGTTTACTTTTTTACCATGATAAAAAAATGGGGATTATTGGATATAAACATTCGTATATCGACAACCATTTACACTCTGTTCCACAAGAGCGTGTCGGTCATATTTTCTGAGAAAAAAGGAATTGTTTATAATTGAATGTATGGCCTTGAGATATAAGCATTGTACTACAATGCATTTACTTAGTATGTTGTCCAGTCGTCATCATTTAATTTAGGCATACTTTCGGCGAGATTTTCCGCCATTGTTTCGGGCAGAGACCTCCATATTTGGCGGATGTGACGTGCCAATTGTTTCACATTAACACTAAAAAGACTGAAACTTAGTATATACCTATATTGCCCAAAAGCAATAAGTAAATCAAAATGGCTGCATTGTGAAAGAATCACTAATGTGTAAAGGAATTTGTTTAAAATTAATTTTTAATATTAGGTTTTAATATTATGAATTTAGGGCGCGAAAGAAATAAAATAAACAACTTGTAAGAACAAGTATCACTGCATAAAGATTCGACTAGCAAGTGCTACTTTAGCTTATTGAGAAACTGCAACTTATCAAGTATACGCCCAAATCGACAATTTATCATGTGTTGGTAATCGAAAAAAAAATGAAAACTGTTATTTCAATACAGAGCCGAACTGGTCATATAAGAAATTTACTCGATTCAATAATAATTCCCAAGCAGTCAAAATGACTGCTTTTGGGCTATATAGGTATATACTAAGTTTCAATCTTTCTAGTGTTAATGTGAAACAATTGACACGTCAAATCCGCCAAATATGGAGGTCTCTACCCGAAACACAATAAAGACATTTTTTGAAAATATCTCGAGATCTAATAATTTTTTTGCCATGGTACCCTAATCATTTTTTACGTAGAGTGAAGAGAAGAATCGATCTGTGTAAAAAAAAATATGCATTTCTATTTAAAAAAATGATGCAATTCTTAATTGCACATGCACTGCTGCATCTAAAAAAAATTTTTAAGGCCTACAAATGTAGTGCTCTTCGAACCATTTATCTTCCTTCTTTGGCATTTTTGCGTAAATGCAATAATAACGGAGTTATGACTTGAAACAATTGCGTGGACCACCCAGTATATGTATATACCGGAAATGAAGGAGGAGGGAAGTAACTACAATTATTAATAAACGCATTTGTATGTTGTACAAAAAGTCACAAAATTCTAAGAAATTCTGTCATTATACATAATGTATTATACATGTATACATAATTGTTTTTCTAATTGAAATTAAAAAGCAGTCAAAATGACTTCCTTGGGCAATCTAGTGTTAAATACTCGCTTTTCTCTGAGCTTGACCTTCATTGCTGCCCACACGTTATATTCCAACAGAGATTAATCATCTGGCTCAAAAAGAACCGAAAGGGTGAATCGTAGATCGATGTTGAGGCTCTTTGGCAGGACTATCGCGTCTTTTGCTTTCGAAAGACCCTAGAATCCCGAACATTTTACAATTTTACCATAATGAAAAAATGGAGATTATTAGATATTATGGGATATAAACAAAGCGACATTCGTATATCGACAACCATTTATTAGTATTCACGCTTCACTGTAGTGGTTGTTAGGACACTGTCTATTGTTTGCAAACATATACGTATCAGGATTCTAGATATTCCTGAATCTATCGGGTGAATTATTTTATACATCCACAGGTGCAATAACGCCTATTTTACATTAGTCGTTTCAGTTTTGTATTGTATTTATAGCATTTCCAACAGGGATTAATCATCTGGTACAGAAGGAACCAAAAGGACGAATTATAGATCGATGTTGAGGCTCTTTGGCAGGACTATTGCGTAAATTTCGTTTGCTTTCGAAAGACCCTAGAATCCCGAACATTTTACAATGTTACCATGATGAAAAAATGGAGATTAATCATCTGGTTCAGAAAGAACCGAAAGGACGAATCATAGATCGATGTTGAGGCTCTTTGGCAGGACTATTGCGTTAATTTCTTTTGCTTTCGAAAGACCCTAGAATCCCGAACATTTTACAATTTTACCATGATAACAAAATGGGGATTAATCATCTAACTCAAAAAGAACTGAAAGGACGAATCGTTGATCGATGTTGAGGCTCTTTCACAGGACTATTACGTAAATTTCTTTTGCTTTCGAAAGACCCTAGAATCCCGAACATTTTACAATGTTACCATGATGAAAAAATGGAGATTAATCATCTGGTTCAGAAAGAACCGAAAGGACGGATCGTAGATCGATATTTAGCCTCTTTCACAGGATTATTACGTAAATTTCTTTTGCTTTCGAATGACCCTAGAATCCCGAACATTTTACAATTTTTCCACGATAACAAAATGGAGATTAATCATCTGGTTCAGAAAGAACCAAAATGACGAATCGTAGATCGATGTTGAGGCTCTTTGGACAGGACTATTGCGTAAATTTCTTTTGCTTTCGAAAGACCCTGGGATCCCGAACATTCCTTGTATCAGTCCTAAGACATCGAATACTCAAGGTGAAGTAAATGTATAAGCAGGCCCGTAATAGAGGAAAGAAGGAAACTTTAGTCGCGCGTCCGTATGCAAGTCAAACGATGCATTATTCCTTGACCTGACCTAACGGAGGCCCCTTTCATATTCATTAGAATTGTGCCCCTCCCCGCCCCTCTCACCTTTCTTTGGACCACGAAAGCCGCCATGGCAGCGCTACTCGAACCAACTATTTTTCTCGATCTCCGTGTTCGCCACATCGTTTCGATATTGTTCCTCTCTTTTTCCAAATTTTGATCAATTATCCGAAAAGTGAATCTCGAAAGGGACGAGCAGCCTCCTGGAATTCGTTCGTAACTGAAAATGAAGTCCTCCATTTTTTATTCGATTCGATTGCTTAATTTGAAGATCTCATAAGTTGTAGTTATAGTTTACGAGCAAAGAGAGCAATTATGTACCGAAAAAAATCGTTGAAATAAGCGTAGAATATGGTACAGAAATATCTGAAATATGCAGTCGAGATTGTAAAATATGTGGCGCGTACAATGGCGCGCTAGAGATTCCGGATAATTATTCTACAGAGAGAGAATTATCCCTTGGTAATGAACTAAATATTTCTGTTAAATACTTCCGCCTTCTAGCTCATTATATTCTGTTCTGCTCCATTATGCTTTGTTTCCATGTTATTCAAAATTCATCTCTATATTCTGGAAACTTTACACGACGCCACTGTATGTCTACACACACACTATATTTACCAGATGAATAATATATCATCTTTGAGTTAGATCAAGATTAAAATACGTTCTTACAAATCATAACAATTGAAAGAAATAGTTTCTCTAAACAACAGGTATTTGTAAAAATCAATTTATAATATATAATTCCTAATTAATCAAAAAAATCACATTTGTTGATGTAAATTTGACCAGAATGTAACGTTCAGTTTTACTTGTTTCTTTTTATTATAAAAGCTAAACGCAAAGGTATTTATAATAAATGGAAATGTGTTTAAAAATGGCTCGCTCCATTTTACATGGTTTCACCAAATCTGGCGAAGGCGGAGCCAAAAGGACTCTATCTCGACCAGGATCGATTCAAGGAAGTCGAATGCATACGGATGTGCATCGATTAGCATTTCGATAGTGCGCATCGATCGTCTCGAAAACTTTCCTGTATCGGTCGCATATCTAAAAGACTCGAGCGGAAAGAAAGAATCGAACGATGCATCGAGGAATTGACTGTTCATTTGTCGCTTTCAAAACGTCGTGATGAAATACAACGAAAAATATATTTTATTTTAAAAAAAAAGAAAAAAAATTTTTGTTAGCTTTTCTGAAGATTTTAATCAGTCGCGTAGAAAGTGATTGAAATTTCAAAATCGAATATTGTAAAGTGTGTTTACGAAAATTGTAAAGTTATTTTACGATGAACGACATAGGTGATGTTAAATCGATTCGTTATCGTAGGTTGTAGATTTTCGAAACTTTTGAAAATGGTTCTGGACATTTCTTCCGCGAGATCAATGATACGGTATATGGAATTTGAGTATGCATTAAGGAATGCACCTTTGTCAGAACACAGCCGTAAGGTTGGCGCTGCTTTTCACATTATGCAGGTCAAAAAGGAAACCTATGCTGTGAATTGACTTTTAGATGAAAGAACTTTGGACAACGTAAAACACGGTCGAAAGGTGAATCTCCCCTGGCGGTGGAGAACTTATGGTAGATTAAAAACCGTTTTGTAGTCTTTTGTCAGGGCAATACGTGACCACAATAACAGCTCATTGAATAATTTGTATAGAATTATGGTAATGCATGGCGAAGGACTTTAGAATCGATTGACGGACGGGAAGCTATTTCTCTATTGACTCCCGGCACAATGCCTTTCCACGTTTTCGAAACAAATTCTTTTTTCGAACGGCTTTGGCTTCGTCTTTTTTTAACACTGACCAGTTCAACGAGTTACGTTCATTAATATTTCATTCGCGCGGTATCGCGATCGGGAGGATCACTTTTTCGTGCCGACCCGTTAAATTGATGCATAATTTAAAATTATGAATTTTCTGCCGTTTCGTGAAAAAAAAAAACATTTATTGGAAATAGCTCGAAAATGCATACAAATTTGTTTATTTGCTATAAGAATTATAAATACGCGCGAAACGTAAAATATTCCAATGTTTTTGCACGCACGGTCTCGTTTAACTTGCCACACGTAGCCTTTGGCATGAAATATTAATAACGACAAACAGATACATACGTAGAACGCTGGAAAATATTTATCATGCGATCAGAAAAAGAACGAATATCGTAGAATAAAAGTGACTCTTATTAATTCTTTACGTTAGAGAGGATGCGTAAATCACACGAAGGAAAAGGATCGTAAAACTTATTTTAATAAAGTTCTCGATCTAACATCCACAGTTTCGTTGCAAGGAGAGCCGTTTAGAGTCATAGAAACTTGTAGCGGAACTTAATAACACCTTCCTGTGCCCCGTCTCTACAAAAACTTCGACGCAGTCCTATTTTTTAAAACAATGTGTTAAACAGAAATGTCCTCCGATAAATAGCAGACTATTATGTGTTCACTCGTTCGGTATTCCCACTCCTCGTCGTTTCCCAGCCGCGTTCGTTCGACCGTCACGATTTTAATGTTCGATTTTATACAAATTCGAAGCCAACGACTCGTCGTAATCTATCCCAGGCCTGCGTTTCAATGCAGATTCAATTTACCCCTGGAATCGACGCGTATCGCATTGAATCGAGCCTCGTCGCAATTCGAGCGTCCTTTGCGCGGGACGAAAAGAGAAAAAAAAAATGAAACAACAGAAAAGTACGCATGAAACACGTGAGAGAGTCCGCGGGGTTGCATAATCCGGGTAATTCCTATGAAATGACGAGGCTTTTATAAGGTCTCGCTGCACCGTAAAATCTTGACATCCTTTCCATCGAGCGCGAGCAATTTGAAAACCGAATACCGCCTGCCGCGGCGTGCCTCCGGTATGTATTCTTTCTCTTCCTCGAAGACTTGCGACCATTTGTAATTTGGATTGCATAAGTGTGTCTCTCCCCACCTGTCGTCCTTTTTTTTTTTTTCTTTTTCTTTACGCGCGCTCGCGAGCTCGAACTCGAGAACACCGCCATTGCTAGGTGCATTGCTCACAACGCCGGGGCTCTTATGTAAACGTGCATAACAATACTAAGTTACTAATCATACGGTCGCTCGCTGGTCGCATCCTGCTTCAGCTCGCCTCGGAAGAACGACAACGTGGCACGATTCGCGTACACGCTCGAAGACAAACCGCTACCGGATCGATGTCGGCTGCGTTTAGTCGCGAGATCGTTCGCGAGTTCCTGTTAAAAAGATGCTGCTAACAATGGCAATGAATAAATCGCGATTTGTATCGGCGATCTCGCCAAGATATCGACCGACTGCAGTGGGAACGAGCCTGACAAGATATGGACCGTTTATTTTGAAAGTGGTGTCCATTTTTGAAAAAAATGAGATATCACGTAATTCGTGCTTAATTTAATGTAAATTTTTTATGTATAACTAGTCCGTGTTCAATTTCTTAAAAAATTCCCATGTTTTGTACGATTTAAAATTGCTCGGTAAATGAAATTGCATAATCATCGATTATGAAAGTGGTGTAAGTCCATTTTTGAAAAAAATGAGATATCACGTAATTCAGGCTTAATTTAATGTAAATTTTTTATGTATAACTAGTCCGTGTTCAATTTCTTAAAAAATTCCCATGTTTTGTACGATTTAAAATTGGTCGGTAAATGAAATTGTGTAATCATCAAATGAATTCGAAAAAAGAATTTTTTGTACACACCACAGGATTATTACGATGTAATAACACAATGTAGAAAACATGATAAATTCATTTTACATGAAATGAAACGAGAGAATTTCGTTTCAATAATAAATCTTCAAAATGCGATTAAAAAACAGATAAGAAAAAACAGTAATGGAGAACAGGTAAATTGGTTGCAATTATGTTGGATGAGGTTTCTCAAAAGTGCACCATACACTACTTTATATAAAACATCGATGAAGGGCAAAGAATTTAAAACTATAAATTTATTACCTACACGGCTTGGAAGACCGCTAAAATTTGAAAAAATCGCCCTGGCGCCTTTGTACCAAGATGCCAGGTCTATTACTTATGAAAAATATAAAGACATCAAGCAGTTATTACCTTATATACCTCTGGTGCATCATGCATATTTCGAAACACTGCCACGTGCAGAGCATAAGTAAATACTATCAATATCTTGTAATTTGAACAATGTAATTAGTAGACTACGGATGTTTATGCATTTATGGGAAATTTTAATCCTCAAAAAACTACAGAATGCATTTAATATGCAAAAATATAAGAAATACTTAAAGTAAGATACGAATTATTATATTTAAGGGTTGAGACAATCATCTACAAAGCTCCCATTTTATTAATTCTATTAATAAAAATATGAATTTGCATAAAGATCCGCAGTCTAGTAATTAGCGTTTAAAATTAAAAATACTACTTCTATTTTGTGTCGTGGCATAATTTGTAAACAAAATTGGATCAATATGAAGTATATTTTAAGTGATATTTGACTTTTCAAAATTGAAATTAAACGATTATCACAATTGTCTAATTTTGAAAGTGGTGTAAGACCATTTGCAGCCCGTAAGTATACATCAGTTTAGTAAAATACGCCTAAAACAAATTTATATAACCGAATTACATATTGATAAAGCAGTAGAAACATTGCCAGACTTCATATAATTTGCCTAAATTTTTTAATTAACGGATATGTTAACCTTTAATTTTCTCGAAACAAGAGAAAATGGACTTACACCACTTTCAAAATAAACGGTCCATATACGAAAAGCGTAAATTTACGCCCTCTGCATTTTTTTTACTACAACACCTTTTACTGTTTTACCAATTGATTCGATATGGAATTTGATAAAAATTGGATATTTTAATTTACTTGCATTTATTATTTTTTTAAACCGTAAGAATGGTCTCTTGAATTTCCAGGTACTTTTTTGGTCGTAGCGACAGGCATGTAACGATCGCGCCATCTATGTTGATGGATTCTTCCTAGGACGCGCCGCAGTCAAAAGGTTAAGGGGCCATTCTACCTTGTAGGCACGAAAAATACATGTTTCTTTGTGATTTTTTTTTGCGGGCTATTAAAGAGCGATTAATTCCGTGTTTTGTAGATACATTTATTATATATTTAGCTATATTTACGAATTTTTGCAACGCATAATATCTATTGATTACTGTGTTTTTGTTGATCAACAAACAAGAAGAAACAAGAGAAAATGGACTTACACCACTTTCAAAATAAACGGTCCATTTGATCGGAACTTGTTCAATCATTATTGAAAACTCCTTGATAGAACAGATTCAATTGTTTTTTACTAGTAACGCCCAGCTTTGTCACTAATCTTCTTTGCAGACGATTTTTGCTCGTCTAACGATAAAAGAGCACAGGAATGTTGAGACAAATTTTAGAAAACTCTCGAGTCATAGTTTCATAAAGATATAGTCCGTCGAAACACGGTTTCTCGGCAACGCACTCTTAACAGGTCGACCCTCAAATTGTCCATGAAAACGGAACTCTGTTTTTAGACAATTGGAAATTAGCATACCCACTGTTCGTCGTGGAACAAAAGCTTTTAAAAGGAATTCTGCAGTTTAGAGAAGCTATAATTATTGTAGTTGAAAACATATCAATTATCTCACCGTGTAATCAGTTGTTTCGAAAATCCTCCCACTGCTACGACAGCTAAAGATCTTCTTCTTCTTCTTTTTCTTCGCCAACTTCCATGTTTCCTTTGGCACCCTACAAAAAGAAAAATGAATTAGTAAAATCCACATTTTCATTAAAATTGCCAGTCGAAGGTTTCCTACGATCATTTTCTTGTTGCAGAACGACACTCACCAAGACGACGATGGCGAGGTATTTTTTTGGGACCCGCTGTCCTCGAAAAATCGAAACACGAAGAATCAGAACCACGAACGACAACTGCAAGAACAGTTGGCGCAAGCCACCATGAAGATACGCGACTTGGAAACCGAATTGAAATGTTTTCAAAAGGTGAGACATTTTAAATCTCGAAATTTCAATTCGCGTAAGAAAAGCATAACGCGAAATCGTTTCTTAACGTTCCGTCGTCGAGCCTGAGAAATTCATTTCTTGAAACGCTTTCGAATTCAGACTTTCAAGAATTTGAACGAACGTGAAATTGTACAATTACACTTTGTTTACACCACGTTTCGCGCGTGTATGTCGGTATAAATAAACAAGTTTTAGAACGTTAACTGTACACATGTTTCGATAATTCTGTTGCAGTAATTCGAAAGTTTATTTATTCGTTTGAGAAGCAAATAATACCGACCAAACGATACGATAATTAACAGAATATTTACGATTAATTAAATAACAAGCAACAAATGATTTATAAGGTAGCTCTGGTTAAGTCCAATCGACACTCCATTCGTTCTGTAAAATGTTGCACAGAGGAATAACGAAAGAAATTTAACATAATTATGTAATGTATCAACATAGTCGAGTCTCTTGTGAACTGCAATATACACTAAACATTTCTAATGCCTCGTTCCGTAAGATAAACGAATGGTACAACATACAAGAGGCTATAACTTAGAAACAAGGACAGACAAGACAAATGTTTACATAGTCGGTTTTCCTTATCATTTTTGTGCGTTGGATTCGCCCCTGAAATGAAACAACGCCCACGTATTATAAAACACCCTCTGTATTAAACTCTATAGGCCATGATCTTGTTGGTTGAAGTTAAATAATCATTCAAAAATCATCGACGTTCCCTGACAATTTCACGTAGATATTTTCGGAACTACGTCTGCCTAATAATCTCATTGTTTCCTCTGACCCACTAAACATAAAGGACTTAATCACCGTCGCAATTGTTTCGAGATAATTGCGTTTAATTTTAACTGCCCACCGGCGACCGTTTCACGCACACATACACGTGAGGACACATGTAATTACACGTTATCTTTAATCAATCGTATCACTGCCATTTCATTGATCGAAATAGACACGTACGTACGCAACGTGATGAACCTGTAACCACAATTCCTCTAAACCGTGCAACGACAGATGTAAATGAATTTACAAAGAATCTATCAAATCAAACTTTTTACCAAGGTTTCTTATTAGCTATTAATAATTCTTAAAGGACGAGCCCACCGAAGGACATCAGAAAGTAGAGTTCTTGAGGGCCAAGCAGGACATGGTGAATCGAATAATACAAATGGAAGAGAAGGTACAATAATGCTTTCTCGATAAGAAAAGAAAATTGAAGAGCTTATTAACGGAACGAATAAATGTCCAAGTAATACGGATAAGAGAAGATCAAAATTTTCTTTTAATTATTTCAACTTTGAAATTTCAAACGTTTCCATTTTTATTTTTTAACGGAAATCATAAAACACTCGAACAATTCGAGTAAGAATTATTAACACTAAAATTACCGAACAGGTCAAAATGACCCATTCGTAAATTCTAATAAAAGTTGATTCGACTGAATTTCTGCAAATTTACTATAATTTTCTATAAGAGAACGAATAAACATTTATTTCCATTGTATTGCACATTTCTTCAAATATCTACCGTTTTAATTTCTTTCGTACAAATGAACACACCATAATTGTGTTAAGAAACAATTGATCGATGAAGAGGGACACTTTAAGTCGTTCTTGGAAATCAGCTCTTCGGTCAGGCTTGTTACAAATAATGCAGAAAACACTGTTCGATAACTGATTAGAACCGAGAGGCGGAAAGGAACACGAAACGCATGCAATTGGATGAAATGGCCTTGATCAACGACTTCCGTACCGTGCTGTCCAAATTAAATTCCCTCGAGAAGCTAGACCTGGTCAGGAACGCGTTGAAAGCTTTGGAGACCGAGAACGAGAAGTACGGCGACCTCCACAAGCGACACGATGGCTTCATCGAGGCTTCCAACAACAGAGAATCGGAACTGTACAAGAAAATCGAGGAGCTTCAGGAAGAAAATAAAAGATTGTTCTCGAGCGTCGAGCAATTGGATCAGCAGCACGAGGAGTCGATAGGTAAGCCCGTGAATTTTGTAAATATATTGCAGACTCGTTAACCATTGGTTTAAACTTCCAGAGAAGCTGCTGTCTCTGAAGGAGGAGATCGAGAAAAAGCACCAGTGCCTTCAGAACGCGTACGAGCAGCTTTACGTGGACTACAACCAGGCTCAGGATAAGGTCGTCCAGTTGGAAGATAGGCTCACGAGCACCGTGAATCGCGTCCAGGTCGAGACTGTGTCTCTTCCTGTGCAGACTGCACGCGTGGCGATCGAGGACAGGCTCGTTCAAACCGATGTTCCTGAAACGAACGAAGAGAGGAACGATAAGAACGATATCGACGTGGTGACCGCGAGGGTACAGGAGATTTTGAAGAACACTTTCGTGGAAACGGAGCCCGGCGTGTCGATCTTCGAGGCTGTCGCGAAGCAATACGTGGACGCGAAATGGAAAAGGGACGTTTTGGAGAAAACGGTGATGGAGCTGAACCGAAAACTGAAGGAGGCCGTGGAGGCGAAGGACTATTTGCAAGACGCCTGCTACGATATGCAGATACACAACGACTCGCTATTACTGGAGATTCAGGATTTAAAATTGAATTTACCGTCCATACCGGAGGCGAGCGAGGAACGCGTCGCCTGGCTGGAGTCGGAAACGGAATCACTGCACGAGCAGGTGAAGCGGCTTCAAACGAAGAACACCGCGCTGAGAAGGGAAAATGCAAAGCTGGGTGGAGGCGGTATGATCGAAATACGATTAGAGAATCAAGGGCATCAAGGAACTGCGTCTAAAAATAGAAAGCTAACTAGATTAGAAGACATACCGGAAGGTGTCGAGGAGACGGACAGCGCGGTGGAGAATCTGAATAACAGGTTGCACACAACGTTGGATGAGAATGACGAGCTACGAAGGAAGATCGATGTGCTGGAGAACACGGGGAAGGAAACGCAAGAGCAGCTTAGAATGTCGTTGGAGAAGTGTAAAGGATTGGACGAGAACATCGAGTTCATCGAGGAGCTGAAACTCGAACTCGAAAACGTGAAACGGGAACTGAAGACGTCGATAGCGAATAGGAAACAGTTGGAAAATAGTTTGGCGCTTTTGCAGGAAACGAAAGATGGAGTGCAAAAGGAGAACGAGGAATTGTATCAGAGAATCAAGCAGCTGGAGATGGGAGCGTCGAAGTGGTCTGAAATAAATTTGGAAAGGGAAAATAACGTGTTGCAGGAGCTGCAGGAACAGCTTGGCAGAGTCAACCGCGAGAAAGACGATTTGGAATATGATATATTGAATATGCGGAAAGAATTGGACGAGGCGTTTAATCAGATAGATACGAAGGAAAGTCATATAACGAAATTAAATCAAGATAATGAAAATTTAATGAAGGAAAAGAATTCGTTGTTGGAGCAATTAACTGCCATTCAGGATGAGTCCAATGATAAGATAGACTTGGTAAATACAGAGAAATCTTTGCTCGAACAAGAACAGATAGAATTGAAAGAGATAGAGGCAAACAAGGAGAAAGAATTAAGTGAACTTAAGGAACAATTACGCGAGTCGGAAGGAAGATACACAAAATTAGAGAACGAGTTCTCGTCTGTAAATGTGAAAGCTGAGCAACTTCGGCTGCAGAATGAAAATCTTCAGAACAAAGTGATAAAACAGGAAGAACTAAAGAATGAATTGGATCGTACAAAATTAACTATTGAAAGGCTAAATTCCATAGAGAACGATTATAGTAAATTAGTAAAAGAAGTGGAAACGTTACGCGAGAAGGAGAAAGCACTAATAGCTTTACAGGAACATTTCGCTAAATTAATGGAGGAAAATAAAAGTTTAATTAGTCTGAACGAATCGATTCAAGATAAGCTTATGCAAACGCAGAACAGGGAACTGGTAAATCATCCAAACGGAAATAACTGTGATAATGAGAAACAACAGATTATAGACCTGTTAGAAGAAAAGACGCGAGAAAACGATGCCTTGAAAATTAATAACGACAAACTAATGGCGGAAATCATAGAATCGCAAAAGAAATTACAAAGTATCATTGAGAGTAACAAGGAATCGACCGATATGGCGAAGCAGACGATAGAAAGTTTATCCCATCTTGTTAGTAAGAAGGATGAAGAAATTAATAATTTAAAAGCAACGCTGGACCTTGCCAAAAGTAATGCAGAAATGTCAGACAACTTCGCGACTATAAAGAACGAAAGGGACGAACTCGTAAAACTTGTTACTGTCAAGCACAACGAGAGCTTACAGTATCATGGTGAAATTCAAAGGCTGACGCAACTCTTGACAGAGCAAGCGTCGAAAATCCAAAATTTGGTATCGGAGAAAGAAATAGATTTATCTCGATTGACGGAAACGAACGCGGAACTTTTGTGGGCGAAGAACGAATTGCAGGTAGCTCAACAGCGTTTGAAACACACCGAAAATAGTGTCGCCAATGAAACCTGCGGAATCGTCGAGCATTCCAAGCAGATAGCAGAAATCGCGCTCCTTAACGAAAAGTGTAACGCGTTGGAGGCAAGTTTAATTCAGGAGCAATCTAATAACAGGATGCTGCAGCATCAGTTTACCGAAAGCCAAAATAAAGAGGCGAATGCTGCAAAGGAATTGGAAAGGCTACGAACGCATTTGGTTGAAATAGAGTCCACTTACACGGAGGAAGCTCTGATCGCCGAAGAGACGCGGAACGAATTAGAAGCAAAATTGCTGCAGGCTGAAGAAAAAGTAAAATCTAGCTCCACCGCTTATACGTCGGCTAATATTAGAGCGAATCAACAGGTGGAAACTTTGCAACAACAAATAACACTGATAATTCAACAAAGAGATGAAATACAAAACAAGTTGTCCACTGCTGAAGACACGATATTATCGCAAGCTGCATCTCTAACTAATCTGCAGTTTGTTTTAGAACAGTTTCAACGAGGTAAATACACAGGGTGTTTGGCCACCCCCTGGGAAAAATTTTAATGGGAAACTTAGTTAAAAAGTTATTAAAAAATTAAATTAAAAAATTTCAAATCATTCACGAAAAAATTATTTTTAGTTGCAGGAATCAATTACAATCATTTTTTGTTAATGTACATACCACCGAAATCCTACGCACTTTCGAGAAAAAAATTCGAGTAAATGCTGAAATTTTTCGGCGAAATTAAAAAATTTCAAATCGTTCTGGAAAAATTGTTTTCGGTTGCGGGGTTCAATTACAATCATTTTTGGTGAATAGACATATCCCCGAAATCCTACCCATCTTCGAGAAAAAAATTCGAGAAGTTGTGAAATTTTGCGACGGAAAAAAGAAATTTCAAATCGTTTTAGAAAAATTGTTTTCGGTTGCGGGGTTCAATTACAATCATTTTTGGTGAACAGGCATACCCCCGAAATCCTACTCACTTTCGAGAAAAAAATTCTTTACCGAAAATATACTGTGTGGCCGAAAATGTTTCTATAACTTTTTAACGAAGCCTCGATCAACAAATTAGTATCCTTGATTTTCGTCTTATTTTGACCTCTAGAATCTTCGATTAAAATTTTTCCCTTTGGATTCTCACGCAAAAAATTCTTGCATATTTACAAATTTTATCGTTTCGATTGCTTCATCAGAATCATATATTTTATACTTATTGTAAATAATTAAACTTATAATGTACATGACTCTTATTTCAGATAAGGAAAGAGACATCAAAGCAGCAATGGAAAGACTTCAAGCTAAGCTAAACGATTCGTATAAGAAACAAGAAGAGCTAGTCAATGATGTTACCAGTCTGAAGGTAGATTTACATAGTTGTTTATAAATTATAAATATTAAATTACATAAGAAATAATTCTACATTACATTTCATATCTATTTACAGGAGCAATTAGCTGAAGCTAAAGAATGCTTGCAAGCGGCGTCCAGATTAAGCGAACAACTTGATAAAAAGACAGAACGAATCGAGCAACTGAACCAAGAAGGTACCCGATTTAATAATTATTATAGAATTTTATTTTTGCCTGCATCTTGCTCCTTTTACCTTTCGCATGATTAGCATTTTTTCGCAATTAAAATATTTCGTAAATCATTATATTTTATCAAAAACAACGTTATAGAGTCTTAATATGTTTATGAAATAAATCGATACTTTTTAATTCACAAACAATTGTTATACAGGTTTTACATGTTTGAATACGTTATATTAGGTCATTTGCGTGAACTTTTGCTAAACGTAAGTAAATAATATGTGTATGTGCTTATTTGGTGTGGTTATATATACTATATACATATATATTCGGGGTTTGTGTGTTATTTTTAATGCGACTTATATCATATTATAAATTTAAAAAAAAACCAAGAAGCCAGAAATATTTAAAATAATTTATAGATTGCTTAATTATTGAACTTTACAACGTAAATTGCTGAATGACAATAGATATTGAATGCTATCATGTTGAGAATAATTCACTATTTTACTGTATTACAATTTTTTTTACACATGTGTTTATTATTTTTATATTTTATGATACAATTGAATTTTCCTTGTAAGTGAATTATTCTTATGTGAAAAATATTTTTTAAGAAAATTCTTAAAAACATTTATATTTTATTCAATTTGATCATGTAAAGCGTATTGTATTTAGACTAAATTAAAAACACTTTGTGATCTTTTGTGATCATTGGTGAATATATTAACCCTCTACTGCATACTGTAGCCGATCAGGAACGCAAAAAAAATAATTCCCATAAAATTCGTAGAGAAAATTTTTAGAAAATTTTCTGTAGGTTCAGCTGCTCATTGTTTGATTCGAACATCAATTACTTCATGCATATACAAACAACCAAAAAGTAATGTCTTTTTCAAAAGATAAAATAAAATTCATGCAGTAGTGGGTTATCTTGTATGTATAATCACACAACAAACATTGCATCATTACTATTACTGGTATGGTGCTATGAATAATGCAAGAAAATGTAGATATTAATATTAATTATTCCTAAAAATACTGCTAACTCCTTTTTATGTATAAAGTAGGAAAGCACATTCGATTAAATGATGGAAAAGAATCTGGTGCTGTAATAGCTTGCTATGAATCGACATGCCAAATATCACACACTCTAATTATAATTTATCCACTGGTGAAATGGTTGAATCCCATTCTATAATTACTAGTTTGAGTGTGATCTGTGACTAATCTGCAAAAGCAAACATATAGAAACTCCGGTTACGTAGTCAAATATCAGCTGGTAATTCTGGGATTTTTGACAATAGCTCAGGATTCTTGCTGGTATCCGGCTACGAACTGGATCGTCGCCTTAGCACACTAAATCACATCTTCGTTGGCTCATGCATTGCCACTGGTGCTGGTACTATCTTTTTTTCATATTTCTACATAAAAATTCTTGACCTTTTAAATAAAGTACTATTAAAAAATAAGAAACAAACAAAAAAAACTTAACTGTATATATTTCTATATCTATGTAAGATTACTTTTTTCCAATTTGATACATCATAACTTTTTGTTCGTATCATTATAAACATTGTCACTAATTCTTTTTATACTTCTTTTGCACTTGATGATTTGTTTGATCTTGCAATTTATGCAATTGAGTTATTGGTGCACATACAATCTAAGAGCAATATGACAGGCAATATCATGACCAGTCCTTGAAACAAAATACTAGTTACAATGAGTTGCAACATTACTATAACCTACAGTTAAACTATTAAATTATACGTATGATCGCATGTGTACTCAATTGTATAATCACTTTAATTGTATCTACATCATGTGACTTATAAGTTTGTTATTCAGGTATAAAAGAGCTATGTATTTACATCATTTTTGCTATGGGCACTATAATATTGTGAATATAATAATTTTACTATTAAGTTTGTTAAGCATTTCACTAATAAAACAAGATTTTTAATTCAATATATATATATATATTAGGATAACACATAACACATTCTATAAGGAAAAGAAATATATAAAACCATACATACATAGAATTTGGTAACGTTAGAGTGGGTAATCTCATGCGGTAACTGTGAGCGTGAAAATTGTAAAAGCTCATATTACCTCGTGGGGTTTCCCACCCGTTACCATTATCCTACAAGGATGAAAGCATGTAATTAAAAACTTTCATTTTGCTATCTACAATATAATGTATACTTTTATTTTATTTTATTCTATTTTGTATAACTAATCTTTAATTTATTTTATTTTTGTACCAATCTACAATCAAATTTAAAATGACCACTTCTTTTATTTTGCGTATCCAATGTCATATTTTATATAAATGAAAGTATTTTATGCTTTATTATATTTGACGAAAAATTATTTTAATACATGAAACAAAATATCATCTTGTTATGAAACTATAATAAAGCAACTATTGTATTCCAATGTAATGGTTTATATGATTATAACATACTAATTGTATTATTATATTGTAACATACTAAAGTACTTATTACTATATTAATATAGCTTTCTTACTTCTAGTGGCATGCGTGAAAATTAGTTTGCTAGTATGGCATGATAAATGAAGAATGCAGCATGAGCAATCAAGACATGGGTGTGAGTATTACATCAGGTACTGGTGTGATATTCAGACAACCAGTACTTGTGTTATACTTACGCTCATGTCTTTTCAACCTTCGAGTCTGCCAACTTTACAACGCTGGAATGCACATGTACAAAAATGAAACATACAAAATACTAAACTTCCTTAAATAGTTAATAATTCTACTTGAATTCCATTTGCAAGCCCATTATCAAATTGACAATGCCATAAAACTTATTCTCTTACGATATTTATTATCCTTTGTATTTATAACTGTGTTTCTTATATCTTTTATTATTTTCTTATAGTGGACCGATTGACGAATCTTGTAAATACCGCTAATCACAGAATAGAAGAAGCGAAAGAAAGCGAAGAGGGACAAATCGATAAGTTAGTCGCCTATTAATTCCATTATAGAAAATCGACAGTAATTGTGAAAAAGCGTTTAATTTTTCAGAACTCTCGTTAAAAATCTTTTCTTGAGTTACCTGTCGTCATCGGCAGCGGACAAATCTTCGGTGCTCAGAGTGTTCTCTACAATTTTGGAGTTCAGTGATGTAGAAAAAGAAAAAGTTGGTTTGAGCAACGCGACCACGCAAAATAGTTGGTTCCCGCGTTTAAGTAGCGGGTCTACCGTAGTTAATAAGGTAAACAAATTTTTCTTGATAACTCCGTTTATAATTAAATACACTTGACTCAAAAGGAATTCATGAAATCACTGCCCGTTAAACACGTTCACGGATTTTAAACCGATTGCAGTAGCATTCGAGATATCGAATTGGTGGAATTGTGACGTGGAATCGATATTATCTCGATACTGTTAATTTTTTTGTTAAAATTGAATTGTATATATTTTATACTTCTTACATATCGTATAAACATATTTTTTTGTTGTAACTATATTATTATATATATAATTATATTTTCCAGGATCAAGATACATCCCTATCAGCCGCGTTCGTAAGGTTCCTGGAAAGTGAATCAAAACCTAAACCACAATTACCTGCACTACCAATTCAAACATCGGTAAGAATATTCGTGTCATATACCTATATATATATTTTACAAAATCCTATATTCTAATATTTATTCTTTTTTCATTCATCTATGTGCAGTCTTTACCAAGACCTGGCCACAGTAGACAACATTCAACATCATCGACCCAATCTACTTTACTACTTTCTAATGTAAATCTTCCAACATTCCCGGACTTTGTTCCAGCCAGAAATACGGGTTCTATTTTAAAAGAAGTGCTGAAGGATAGCTGATATTAAAACTTCCAATATAATTTGTGCTTTGTAAATCTCCAGACTATAATGAAAAGGAACGTTTAAAGAATAATTTAAATACCGAATTTTATTGAATAAGAACGTAAAAATACGATTAAAAAATAAAAACAAATTCGTTGTGTTTCTCTAGAAGAAAAAAGATATAATATATACCGACAAATTATTGGCAGTAACAATCGTTCCCAGAATTAGAATGACACATTATTTTTTTAAAATTGATTTTTGTGTATAAGACGGTAACCTGAATTTAAAAAATCTTATTTTAATATGTTGCGATGGTTATAATACAAATATTTAATCTTTATTTAAAAACTCAATTTTTCTTGCTGACAATAATCTTGTAATATAGTAGTCCTCGTATAAAATTTCTGTCAATTTGAAAAATAATCTACGACTATACTGGTTTAATCAGAAACATTAACATCAAATATGTTACCTAAAATCACAACGAATGAAATAGTAAATCATTGTGGGGTCCATCGCTTCCCGTATTCGCTTTTCCTCTCGCAAGCACTCGACCGACTCCCAATATTCCGGCATTTAAGACAGGGTCTGCTAGGGCTAGGATGCCTTATGCTTGCCTTATACGCTTCCCTATCCTTAAATTTCCATCTCTTTCACAGGACCCCCAAAAATAACGTGTATTTACAGTATTAAATATTTGTATCCATATTTTGTGCTACACATTCAAGTATCTTTCAGTTTACTTATGAAATTAAAATGTCACAGATTTAATATAATCTAACTTTAAATTTATACACAGTAAAATGCAGGCTGTATTTATATTCTTGTAGTCTTAAATGTTATAATACTCTGTAAGGTAACATTGTTAAGCTAGGTCTTTTAGTTTTGCATCAAATGTATATAAAACAAATAATGTAACTGAAAATAGACACGAAATGGTGGGCTAGCAATAAATATGTAACAAATTTACAATTAAATGTTGTAAGTGCTTCCATTGTATAAACTATAATTTTTCATGCGAATTTCAAATACATGCAGTCTTTTCATCTATAGATTTATAGATATGGGCATTCACTAAAATATATAATATATAAATACAGGTCTCTTACTGTAAAATTTTGCTTTCTTTTTATAGAATTTCCATTAAGGTGGCAATCTTTGTTATATGAACTTAACATTACTAAAAATTACCAAATATTAGCTCTCTTTGTTCTCTAAATTTATTTTTGGGCAAAATTTAACAGTTTCAAATCCAAAAATTACACAATTTCTACAGATATGTATACACATTTGCAGTATACTAAAAATAATTTACCAAGTTACATAATCTAAAAATGTGTCAGAGCTTTTGCAAATAAAGAATTATGTTTTAAACCTGGTACACATTACCTAATTGAAAGATGAGGAGTCTAATTAAGTCGACATTTAAATTTATGAGTTTTATTTAAAACAAAATTCTTAAACTACAATTTACAAAAATCGAAATATGACATACTGATAAAAGGATTTGGAAAGTACATGAGTATGGAAATAGGAACACGAAATATAGTAGATTATAAATTTTGCATATTTGAAGTCTACTTTTCTTCCTCCTTCTTCTCTTCTTTCTTCTCCTCCTGAGATTCCTTCAACGCTGGCTTGCCGGTCTTTTCAATAGAGATAACTCTCTCGCCTTCAACTTGTGGTTTTTCTTTTCTAGGTGCGGTGATACTAAGTACACCGTCGGACGATAAACTAGATGCTACTTGGTCCATGTCGCATTGTTCAGGAATCAAATATTTCCTGACAAATTGCCTCGAAATCCATCCATGTTCGTCTTGCTTTTCTTCGTGTTTGCCCTCGACAATGACACATTTGTCGACGACCTTGACGTTAATTTCATCCGGTTTGAATTGCTGAACATCCAGGACCACCTGGAATTTATCTTTATCTGCCTTGACGGTGGACGTGCCTCCGCCCTCGCCTTTTCGCAGGAGTTCGCCCCACGGTCTGTAGTATCTCAACAACGGATCTCTCATCATCAATCTTCTATCCGCTTGTCTGGGCACCATATATTGGTCGAGAATGTTCGCGTTCAGCAATTGCTCAGGGTGTAATCCCAAACCAAAATTCTGGTCAAAAAGACGATGAGGCCGGTCCAGATCTTCCCACCAGTCAGAGAACAACAGTGGAATCAGAGCCATTTTTTCACTGAATTACTTGATACTTTTACGTCAAACAACTGATTCTTCGCGAATCTCTTATAAATAATTTGCTTTCGGCACTTGTACTTCAGATGTTTCTCTCACGATCGTTTTCAGTATACTGTTGCTACGCATCGCAGCTCGCGTATTTATACCGGCACCAGTTGGCGATGAGTAGTTTCCAGAACGTTCCGTACCTACGTACGTGTATTTTCGAGAATATTCTCGATTTTATTAATCACGAATTATTTTTGGCATACAAACCATTTTAAAATTGTTATTATCGTAAGTATTCGTATAACAAATGAGTATTTATATTATAAATATGCGATCGAACGAAATTTCGTACTACGCAAACGCAATGTTCTCGGCGTATTAATATCGTACATTACCGAAAATGATTACTTTTGTTTACAGTGACACATACTTTATTTTGAGATATATTTTTGTACTGAAAAGAGACCATTTATTATTCTTATTTTTTTTTTAAACAAAGAAATATTGACATTATTATTTGTCAGCATTTCGCAATACTTTTCCGTGATAATTTTCAATCGAATTATATCGTTTCACAAATATATTTTTAAACATACCCAATAATATTATTTCCTATTTTGTCTTAGATTAACATTTATTTAGTTAACAAAAAGAAAGCCAAATTTAATATAACCAATATCTTGCATTTCAGAAAGTATCCTAATCAGTAGCATCATTGTAAAATACGCGATATTTATTCCCTAAATTTAGTGCATATGTCAGAATAGTATTTACGTACGTCATTGGGTGCGGTTCGATTCGAACTTCCTGTGATTATACGCTTATAAAATCACATATCTATGTATTAATTAATTAAATGCACAATCGTGTTTCAATCTATTATTATATGTATATAGAAATACAAGTAAAATTTTAAGCTTTCATTATCTTCAAAATTAAAAGAGTAATTTTTTTATTACTCGTTTATCTTATCATTAAAACATCGAGACTGATATGTTATTGTAAGAATATTCTCGATAGCCGACTAACAATATTACTGTTCTGTTTTGACTTTTAATTATTGATTATTGTACATTATGAAAAAAAATTTGGAAAATAGTTTGATTTCTTTTTATAATTAGCGTAATTATTTATTATTGTGACATACGTGCATTAGTGTTACGTCAATGTATGTATAATTATAGAAAATTGTTTGTTGTTAGTGTTTGTCTATTAATAGTCTATGATTTTGCAGCACTTCCACAAAATTCTACACTTTTCTACATTGTTCCATTGAGCAGGATGAATCACGAGAAGTATCTTTTTATAATAGTAACGTAATATTTGGAAAGATCAAATTCTATGAATTCATTTGAATATAAATATATAAATTGTTGAAAATAAATCGTCGTTAGTAATTGTTTAATAATAGGCCAATGATTTGACAGCGTTTCCGGAAAATTCTACGCTTCTCTGCATTATTCCAACGAGTAAAATGAATCGATGGGTGTATCTTTTTATAATAATAACGTAATATATGAAAAGTTCAAATTATGAGAATAATTATTCGAAAAAGAAGTTATTAGACATTCGAAATAAAAATAAACGTTTTTAAATCGTTTCATGTTGCATATTGGACACTGTAACTTGTAAATTTAAAAACAAGCATGAAGTTAAAATAATTATGGAATTGATTTTATTCAAAATAATTGAAATACTTCGTAAATATATAAATATACATATATTTATACATTTTCAAGAATTTATATAGTACTTTGTTATTTGATACTGTTAAAAGTGTACATTGACAAACACATGGGGGTTATACATATATCAATGAATTGTGCAGTTAAAATTTCAAAACACTCGTACGATCTTGAAATATAGATATATTTTCTTGGCATTCGACGTAGGAATATTCGTGACCTTAGTCACATCCAACGGACGGTTGTCCGTTGTCTCTCAAGACGCACATATGCGTATGTATACATATATTGCGTATTTTATTACGTTCTCAAACAAAAGGTAGCACCACAATGAAACAGCACATATGATCACGTGTATTTGTTTCCATCAGGTTTCACGGATTCAGTCTAATTAATATAAATAACATAATACTATTGTTATCTAATTTTACGTAATTGTGTGTTAACGAAAAATTACGTTTTGTTCTATATTTTCGTCAATTCTAAATATACATTACAATTTATTGAAATCATAAATTAAATTAGCCAATTATCTACATATATAGTCCATTCCAGTTAATGTCTACTTTACTTTAACCTTGCCAGACGAAAACAGTATTTCAGCAGTATTGATTTGCCATTTCCCAAGCCAAACAACTTCACTTCAAATAAAACCTGTTCCACAAAGATCGATAACTGGCAAGAATTTACATATCTTGAGTTAATAATATTAACGAAACACGTTTATGTTATGAATGTCTGTCTAAAGGTACAACGTACAACTTTGTTCACTATTACATCAATATACTCTATCTAGATAATTTCTATTTTTACACCGCGGTGTAAAATCGATCTTTCTGGGGGCTTCTAAGCTGCCAACTTACTCATGTTGGCTGCAAGCCCACATACTGAATTTATGTTTATCCTACAAGTCATTGCACTCCCGATAATTCTAGATATGCCTATTTACAGTTTGAACTATTTTTAACAAGATAACAAAATGTATTAATTTTTATTAAATTTACTTTATTCTACGATTCAAAAATGTTTTAAAAAGTATACCAATATCGTGTTAAGAAAAGGCGCGAATTAGAAATTTTACATTTAATTTTAGCAAATTAAATATTCGAGTAATATAATCATAGCAGACTATTTAAAAATTAATTTTTGTAGGAAAAAGAAGAGGTACACGAACAGTGAATACATTGTTTGAATCAGAAAAACAATTTATTTTTTATAGAATGAATTATACAAAATTCTGTGACATTTGTACTTTTATGCAATACGAAACACTATGTATTACAAATAATGTATTGCTTATTTTACATCGATTATACGTATTACATTATAACAAATAATTTTAAAAAGAACGAATATGAAAAAGCAATTAGGAACATGTTTTACACGTCTGAGGATAAGTTTAAATGCTCTAGGTTATATTATAAGTATTAATAAATGTCATTACAACATTTATAATGCTGTAATCGGTGTTTACAGTATAAAAAAGAATGAAATAGTAGTAATAAAAAATGAAATTAATGACGAGGGTGATAGATACGATTTATGAATTTTTAGGAGTTCCCTTTCGCCCGCGTTGATGTTGCGATTGCTGCTGCTGTTGTATTCGTTGAGGTTGTTGTTCCTTTTGCGGTTCTGGCGTGCCGTTAACTTTATCATCGCAATTGGACAAAGCAGGTTTTCCAGTATATTGTATCTTCAGTACCCTTTCGTTTGATTCGGTCCTCGACGGACTTTTTCTGGGCACAGTGATGGACAAGATACCATCAGACGACAAATGTGACTCTACTTGATCGATATCACACTGCGATGGTACAATGTATTTTCTGAGAAACTTTCTCGAGACCCAGCCTTGATCATCCTGTCTTTCTTCGTGTTCCGCTTGAACAACAACGTTATGGTCTACCACTTTAACATTAACCTCTTCCGGCGTGAAATGCGACACATCTAAAGTAACTTCGAACTTATCCTTGTCAGGCTTTACAGTGGATACGCCTCGTTTATTTTTAAGCGTGCTCTTTGAAAATGGATGATAGCGACGATTCCTAGCGAGTTTATGAGGTCGATAGAGCAGAAGTTCGGAATCATACGGTTCCGAATCGCGCAACAAATCACTTAGATCTATCATCGAGCCAAAATCCTGATCCCAGAGATGATGAGGTCGATCTAAACGTTCCCACCAATCGGAATACAATATCGGTAACAGCGACATTGCGTAATTACTTTAACAATTAAATGTCCTGTCTGATAACAGGTTGCTGAACGTTTACTTTCAAAGTTAATGTTATGTAAAATTTATTAATCGCTGATTTATTCGCAGCTGAACCGTTCTATCGCTCTCACGTGAATCAGCCGTTGGCTACCACGCAGTTCTCTTTATACGTATTCGTTGCGCATGAGGCAAAGTAGTGGGGGCAATAGCACCGTGTATTCGAGAAGAGTCTGGAAAACGCGAAAGCTGTCCTTGAGTACAGCTGTCTTTTTCGTATCGACGAGCGCTTCTTTGCGCAGACTCGTACAATACCACGCAACACAGACCGGCTATATCGCATGATGTCACTGCGGGAACTGTTATTAAACATTGAAAACAGGTTTCTCAACGAGCGGTGGTCATAGAACGTCTAGAGCACGTCTAGGTCTAAAATTAATCACGCATAGCTATCTACATATCAAGTAAAACGTGGTTTGGAGATACGCTAATTTTTGAATAGCCGACGTTGTGATAATAGTAACACACTGTTTAAAAAAAGGAACTATTTATTTAATATTAACACTTCTGAGCATACAAAAACAATGCTCGTACATATCTGTAATCGGTTTAAAAGTAAAAAATTAATTGTTAACATTTTGTCCGATACATACGGTTACATATCGACTTCATATTCATTTGGAATGAAGAATATCTGCAGATTAGATATTGTTAAACTGACACAAAAACATATATGTTACACATTTTTTATGGTAATCGATTTATTAATTGCATAAAATGTATTGAGAGACGAACAAACAAAACTAAATTTTCTTCTTGATTATACAAAACGATGAATGCATATACAAATATTCTCAAATAGAAAATGATTCATAAAAATGACAAATAAAAATACCATAGGTATCAAAGAATGTAAACACCTTAAAGGTGCAATTCGAATATAAATAAAATGCATGAATGTAGCTATGCATTGTAAAGCGTTTCACTAATGTTACGTCAAATATTAAATACCCGTGATGGTGCCACAGATGCATATGTATATGTGATGCAAGTATGAGAAAACGTTATGTGATAGAATTTTACTCCATGTTTTGCTCCTCTGATTGTATTTCTGCTCCCAGTATGTCGCGAAATGGTTTGTCGATACGCTCGATGTTGATTTTTCTTTCAACCTGATCTTGCTTACGTGGGGCGACGATTGATAGAACACCGTCCGAAGAAAATTTTGACATAACCTGATCAATGTCGCATTGTTTCGGTATCATGTACTTTCTCGAAAATTGCCTGGAGATCCAACCATGCTCGTCCTGTTTCTCTTCGTGTTTCCCCTCGACAATCACAAAACGATCGACGACCTTAACATTAATTTCTTCTGGTGCGAAATGCTCCATATCAAGGTCTACGCGAAATTTATCCTTGTCGGCTTTCACGGTCGATGAACCACCTTTGCCTTCCCGCAATAGGTCGCCCCATGGTCTGGAATACGCTATGGGATATCTATCCCCGACGTTTCGCGACATCATGTCGAATAATTGTTTCGGAAGGAAATCCTGTGGATCTGGATTCAAATCATCCAATTTGCCGGCGATAAGGAAAGGTAGTAACATGTCCATCTTGAGATTTCGAAATTGGGATTGGCTTCTTTGGTATGATTATTTATTACGGAAGTTACTTCTCCACTTCCTTCCGTTTCTTTGAAACAGCTCAGCGAAGGTTATGAGAAAACACCGGTACAGTTAATGCGACTGCTCTCAACGGACTGATATACTTCCGAACATGACCGCAGCATTCAAAGGAGGGCGCTTGAATCGAATATGGCTGCGAATTCAGAAAATTTTCAGGCAGGCGCAAAACGAAAGTTCTTGAAGCATCGAGAAATGGGAATGCGTTTTCATTACGCTACAATGAATTTTCTTGAAAATAATTCTAGTGGAAGATAATTCTAGGATGAGATAGCAAATATAATTGGAGGATTTTAATGTTTCAAAAGTCCTAATTTAGAGTAACTTTTCGAATGGGTATACTCGTACAACACGAAATGTTACAAGAATATTGGTGGAATGTTGCAAACGTTTCTCATTTTGCACAAAAATATTCCGACAATATCTAGGAATATTTCTGCAAATATTCAAAATAATTCTAAATAATTAAAATATTAAAAGTCGTGACCATTGCTCGCACTTTACATACAAGGTGTTTGACCACCACTGAGAAAAATTTTAATGGGAGATTCTAGAGGCCAAAGTAAGACGAAAATCAAGAATATTAATTTGTTGATTGAGGCTTCGTTAAAAAGTTATTAAAAAATTTCAAACCGTTCTGGAAAAATTATTTTCGGTTGCAAGGGCCAATTACAATAATTTTTGGTGAATAGACATACCCCTGAAATCCTACCCAGTTTCGAGAAAAAAATTCGAGGTACTGAAATTGTTCGGCGAAAAAAAAAATTTCAAATCGTTCTGGAAAAATTATTTTCAGTTGCAAGGGTTAATTACAATCATTTTGTGTTAATACACATACCCCCGAAAACCTACGCACTTTCGAAAAAAAAATTCGAGAAGATGAGAAATTTTTTCACAAAATTAAGAAATTTCAAATTGTTCTGGAAAAATTATTTTTGGCTGCAAGGGTTAATTACAATCATTTTTTATTAATACACATACCCCCGAATTCCTACGTACTTTCGAGAAAAAAATTCTTTACCGAAAATATACCGTGTGGCCGGAAATGTTTCTGTAACTTTTTAACGAAGCCTCAATCAACAAATTGGTATCCTTGATTTTCGTCTTATTTTGGCCTCTAGAATCTCTCATTAAAATTTTTAATATGAATAACGTTCTGTCATGGAATAGAAGTACAATAATGTTAATGAAAATATGAACAATTCAATTATGTATTATACTATCAAGCTAAATATAAACCATGTAATCATATAGCACATATAATAATAACACAAGATAGCATTATCACGAAGATACTGTTGCTCGAGGTAAACTACAGCGCAAAAGTGATACTTTTAATCAATATAGAAAAATGGAACAAAAAATTTGTATCATACAAAATTTCCCATCTGCTTACAAGACATTGGCGCAGCACAGAGGATCAAAGAATTACATTTGGTTAATTTAGTCTTTTTATTAAAAGTCGTAAAAAAAGAGAACACACTAACGCTCTATTATTGGACCTGGCAAGCGTTTAACATCATACATATCAAATATAAAAATTCTTAATGTGTATCAAAAATAACAAGATATAAATTATAATGGAAATATGGCAGATTAAGTCTCATTTCTCAGGTGTCTGTTGATCCGTGGCTTCTGTCGTTTCTTCACGGTTACTGGATTCCTGGGAGGTGGTGGTCGGATTCACAGTGTTGGAAGGGGTTGTCGATGATTCCGTGGTGTCGATACGAATAGCAGGTTTACCCGTTTGCACGATCTTGATCGTTCGTTCGTTTTCTTTTTCTTCGGATGGTTTCATCGGGGCCGTGATCATCAAAATTCCATCCGACGAGATGTTCGATGACAGCTGGTCTGTGATCGCTTCTTCGGGTAGCAAATATTTTCTCGAAAACTGCCTCGAGATCAGGCCGTGTTCGTCTTTCTTCTCTTCGTGCTTCGCCTCCACCACGATGAATTTACCAGCAAGCTTCACGGTGATTTCATCCGGTTTGAATTGCTGCACATCGAGGATCACCTTGAAAGTGTCCTTATCCTCGGTGACAGACACAGTACCGGTATCGCCATATTGCATCAGATCGGACAGTTGTTTGTGGTACAAGTTAATGGCTGATTTGCTCGCTGGGTAGAAACTGTCTATCGCGCTAGGAAACATCACTTGGCCAGGGTAGAGGCCCAATCCAAAATTTTGATCCATGATACGGTGCGGATGATCCATTTCCGCCCACCAGGCGGACAGCAACAACGGTAACATTGGCGACATTTTGCGGTTCACTTGAGACTCGATGAATACGTTACTTTTTCTCTTCCTGCACTCGAAAATTTCACTCGTGTGCTTGGGTACGAAATACTCGGTTGATACGCACTTCTTCGATCCCTTCGATATCTGAAATGTGACTGAAGTTTCGCTCTCCGCGCCGGGTATTTATGTGGAACGATTTCAAAGTGGTAGTGCGTAGACTGTATTGTGCAGACTATCGAGAAGTTTCTGGGCTAAGAACGAAAATAAAATCGACGTGTTTGTTTCATTGGTTGATAACTAATCGAACGTACGTCGATAACTAATTAACGTGTTTGTTTTTTCATTATGTGTCTTGCGTAAAATTCCGACCAATTGCAAAGCGAATTGTTTACCTTTTCGCGCTTTTCACGCTGTATGTTAGATTACTCGCTGTCGGGCAAGATTTCGTACGCTATCATTGTCTTCGTTTTATGACGAAATGTTTGTCTTCGTTTTAAATTTTAACTGCAATTAATTGTTAATTTTAAAACGTATCAACTACGATTTCTTTGTTTATTATCATTCTTCGTTTCACTTTGAAATTGTTATTGTCTTCTCGGTTTAAATTAGCGTGTATGTTTTCCTGATGTTCAGAAGCGAAAATATGTTGTTTTACGTATTTTTGGTAAGCGTATCATGACATTTTAATATTTCAATCGACATTCTGGAACAATCATTTTAAAAACGTGGAAAATGTTGCAATTGAGTTTCTATTTTGAAAAATTACTTTGTGTGATATAACAAATTACTTATCATTAGTCTGAATTAGTACTAATGCATTTTAAAAGCCCTGTAAAAATAATAAACAATGTCACTGGTTATACATTTATACTTGCAAAATAGTACTGTATATTTTTTTAATCGAAAATTTTAATTACAACACGTATGTTGCTTGTAACTTTCGAGTACTTTCGATTTTTTGCAACCTATTGCATCAACCTGTCGCTTCTGGAAACATTTCGATAATTCTAGATACTCTTCAGAACACGTCAGAATAATCTTTATCTCGCGTCTGCGCCTAACTGATCATTATTAACACGAATTCCTTACACATACATTACTCATCATACAAATGCTTATACGTGGCCGTATCACTTTCTCCGTGATTTTTTATAATTACTTCTAGTGAAATACTAAAACTAGAGCCACGGGCCTTGAAGCAAACTACAACGTTTATGAAACGTCGACAAATTGTTGAACCTAAACGCATCATCCAACTGGATGAATTATACTTTGATTAGTAAGGTAGACTATTAAATATTTAAATATTCTGTAATCGTAAAAAATGAACTCTCATACAGGGTGTTCGGCCACCTCTGGGAAAAATTTTAATGGTGGATTCTAGAGGCCAAAATAAGACGAAAATCAAGAATACCAATTTGTCGATGGTGGCTTTGTTAAAAAGTTATTAACGTTTAAAATTCCACCCGTACTGAATTTTTTTCTAGAAAATGGGTAGGATTTCGGGGATATGTCTATTCACCAAAAATGATTGTAATTGACCCCCACAACCGAAAATAATTTTTCCAAAACGATTTGAAATTTCTTTTTTCCGTCGAAAAATTTCAAAACTTCTCGAATTTTTTTCTAGAAAGTGAGTAGGATTTCGGAGGTATGTCTATTCACCAAAAATGATTGTAATTGACCCCCACAATCGAAAATAATTTTTCCAAAACGATTTGAAATTTCTTTTTTCCGTCGAAAAATTTCAAAACTTCTCGAATTTTTTTCTAGAAAGTGAGTAGGATTTCGGAGGTATGTCTATTCACCAAAAATGATTGTAATTGACCCCCGCAACCGAAAATAATTTTTCCAAAACGATTTGAAATTTCTTTTTTCCGTCGAAAAATTTCAAAACTTCTCGAATTTTTTTCTAGAAAGTGAGTAGGATTTCGGAGGTATGTCTATTCACCAAAAATGATTGTAATTGACCCCCGCAACCGAAAATAATTTTTCCAGAACGATTTGAAATTTTTGAATTTAATTGTTAATAACTTTTTAACGAAGCTTCCATCAACAAATTGGTATTCTTGATTTTCGTCTTATTTTGGCCTCCAGAATCTCCCATTAAAATTTTTCCCAGGGGTGGCCGAACACCCTGTATAATAACCTTGAGATATCAATAATATAATAAAGACTTGTTAATATAAACTGTCCACGTAAACGTGCAAAACAATTTTTACCAGTATAACATGTTTCTGATGATGAGCTATTTTAATGTTTAATAAAATTAATTTTATTAAATATATGAATTAAATTCATTTAAAAAAAAACTAGATATCAATAAATTCGAATAACTTATCATTTCTAATTAAATATTAATAATTAATTATTTAATATAAAAAATTATATTTAATTAACTCTTTTATTTTCGAATTAGTGATAAGTTTATTTCGTTTGGCGTCCGTCTGCGAGTATTGTTTTAATGATAATTATGTGGAGCTTATTTGCGGACAACGTGTTGTTTCAGTTTAAACTGATAGACAGATATATGTATATTACGTGTAAATTTCACAATGAAAAACCAGTTTTTATTAGTATACATTCTGTATCTCGATAACCCAAATATGTATACATGTATTATTCTCAAAATGAGAACAATCACGCTTTTACACGATATATTACACAAAGGACTGCTAATGATTACAGATGTATTGTATACTAAGGTTAGAGAGAGAAAAAGAATACTGAAAAATGAATTGAATCCCATGTTCGAGACACTTTTGAGTAATCGTTGTGCGACGTTGGGCTGGGACGTGATTTCATGTATACGTCATATCAATATGTGTTGTATATATTACGTGTACAAAATAACAGCAAACGTATCCCTAACGTTTTGAAGTATAAGGTGGTACAATTTTAACGGGACGTTAAATTATTATTTCTTAAATGATTATTAAATGTGCTGTAATAAACATAAAGAAAATGTGATACAACAATGTCGATACTGTCGTTTAATCGTAATATTATTATGTATAAAATACTGCTAACGCGATGTCATTGGAGTATATCTAGTAACTAGGTGATGCAATTCCATTGAATCTTTTAGCGAGATAAGGTATAATTGATTCATTAATTCCTAAAGAACCTATATTACGCAACAAACATACAGATTATACATTGCAATGTGTATAATTTGAATGTATTTTTAACGTAATCATCGTTTCGTGGAAGGTATTTAAAATAAAATACAACAGTATCGTAACAATTGAATTCAAACTTTAAATTATATGACTTATATTGCTGTTAATTGCAGCCTATAATTTAAGGAACGTACATATCCTAGATACCCAATTTCGCACAATAATTACATTTTTATTCGAGGTTTTATTAAAAAGTTCTAGAAAACGATCAAAGAATCGTCGAGAATCTTCGTGAAATGTCCACCGGCACTCGAACCTTCTGCGCATCTATAAGTAACCATAGTCATGGTTATGTAGATATATATAAGCTGCGCAGAAAGCGAGTCCCATCAGTATAGAACAGACAAGCGAGGAGTTTGCATCGTCGGCGTGCTATTAGCAAAGTTAACAAATATTCTCGAACTTGTATTAACGTAAACGAAAGCTAAAAAATGAGGTCACGAATGACAGTGATTCCAAAATTATTTTCTCACTGGTGGGAAACATTAGAGCGACCACACCGGTTGATCGATCAGCATTTCGGTAGATCGCTACGACCGGAACAATTTTTTTCCTCAGTTTTTGACAGACCATTACTCAGAAGATTTCCGCTCAGTTATTACCAACCATGGATGGAAGAATACATGAAAGAAGATGAATGTGGTATGTCCGTAGTGAAAAACAACAAAGATAAATTTCACATAGCACTTGATGTGAAACAGTTTAAACCTGAGGAAATAAACGTAAAAGTCGTTGACGATTACATTGTCGTCGAGGGTAAGTTTCTTTCTTTAAAACGATTCTTTCGAAAAAACGTAAGGTTATATTGCAACTACGTTTCTCATATGACGCCACATTATGATTCGAGACGCATTCACTCCTAACGACCGTTGATTCTTATAATAACACAAATTACTTGAATATTAATCATCTTTAACCATTTACAATATATAAAAGTATTGGAAACAACAAAAACAATATTCTTTCGACGAAAATTTATTTTTCTTTAAACTGGGAAAATGTTAATTTTACACTCTACCGTAACGAATGCATCGCGTGTTGCAGTTTAATTTGTTATTGATAAATTATAATTATTTTTGCAGGAAAACATGAAGAAAAGGAAGATGACCATGGAATCATCTCGAGACATTTTGTCAGAAAATATTTGATACCCGAACAATGCGACCCTGAAAAAACGACGAGTATTCTGACACCAGACGGCGTTTTAACAGTGACCGCACCAAGGAGACCAGAATCGATCGAAAACAAAAAAGAAAGAGTGATTCAAATTGAACATGTGGAAAACCAAGAGGCAGAAGGCGAACCTGCCAAAATAAAACAGAGGCAATAGAAAGATCCTCTGTATTTCTTAAAATATTTAGTATTTTCATCGTTTTCATATCGTTCATTCTCTCATAGAATACATACATATGCATGTAAATATTTATACTTTGTTTATATATTGCATAAACATTTGTAACCATGTAAACCTACATTAAATGAAATAATTATAAAAACCATGTATGTTTTCTTCTTGTTTGTTACCCTTTTTTAATTTTATTCGATTATTTCGTCTATACGATGCTTCTTTTCAGTCGAACTGTTATTCCGTCAAGGTTATGTTCCGTTTTACGATTTTTGTTCATATAATTAAAATTAGCCATAGGTGACACTTTTTTACTTATACAAAATACCAAAATTATTAGAAATGGATGGTTAATGCAAATTGTTTTGTATACATCTATATAACGAATGATTATATGTATTGTTGAGCATTTATGTATCAGGACGGGCAAAATTTTAGAAGCCACCTTGGATTTGCAAATATTACAATATCACTTTGTATAAACATCCAACAACTTTGAAATAATTCGTAGGATTTGCTGGAAATGATCTTAACCCTTTGCACTTCATATAATTTTATAGTAAACATAATGCTAGCTCGAGGTAATAGATATAACAATGAAAATCAGCGATGTACGTTCTCAAAATTTATTTTGTTCTATCTTACATTAGTTTGTATTACGTTTATAAGAAATTTTTAATGCCTTTTGAATGCAAAGAATTAAAGAATCGTACATAACCTACATGATTTTTAATACGTTGACTGTTTTGGATATTTGTTCAAATTATAGTGTGAAGTATAGAAATATTCGATAATTCAATAGTGTGTACCTTATTTTACAGCATTTTGAAATAATAATAACATTATTTGCAATTTGACAAGCGTTAAGGTTCTTTCATTGTAAATGATTTTACAGCACGATACGTGTTTAAAATGTCGGTTATCAGTGACTACCATGGACAGTCACGTATTAAGCTATCGGTCTATATGATTACGAAATTTATGTAGGAAATTAATCTCTGGCGGTACTGCGATTTTTTATTTAAAGACAGTAACTATTGTGCAATTTAATGTTTAAATAATTTGAAAATTTGCAGTAGTTATGGCCACTTTCCTTTTGGAAAAGTCCCAATGTGTTAAAGAAATTTAATAAAATATTTTTAGGTACTATTATAAATGGTTAATGACAAAATCGAATGGGATACAAACAGCATTAAAACATTCTTGAAAAATAAAAATAATATTTAAGTAAATTCCGTGAATATTATATATTTCTTAAAATTGTTTATAAAATATAATAAAATAAGAAATAAATATTTAATAACACCAAAAATCAAAAAAATTTGTATCTTACAGTTACAAAAAGCATTCAGGATACAATTCAAAGAAAGGTAATTAACTGCGTAGTTTATTTACTTATTTATACATTATTTAAAATAGAAAAAAAGTACAAGTCTTAAATACTGGCAGATAGTGAGCGTACACACATTCACAATTTTATTGAAATAAATGCATAAAATAAAAACACTATCATTTAGTTTTACGATCTATCATCTATCGCTTCCTTCCTTCTCCTACCCTTTATGTTACAAGCATAAAGTTAATGATACCTATACTTCGCTTGATACACGAATGTGTAGACATAAGGTTCATGGTTTTAACATAAAGGGGATGACTTGCAATCTTCGAGCCTAACTTCGATCGATTTTGATAATGAGAAATGCTGATAGAAAATGAACACTAACAATGAACAGTAATTATGTTTATATAGGAATAGAATGAATGGTAGAATATTCAAGGAACCACTTCATTTCTTCTCTTCTTCCTCCTTGTTTTGTGGCTGCTGTTGCTTCGCCGGCTTTGTCTGAAGCGCCGGTTTACATGTATGCTCGATTTTAATTACTCTCTCATTTTCAACTTTCGGCTGATCCTTCCTCGGAGCAATGATAGTAAGCACACCATCAGAGGATAGCTTCGACGCAACTTGATCGATGTCGCATTGTTCAGGAATCGTATATTTCCTGACAAATTTACGCGAGATCCAGCCATGTTCGTCGCGTTTCTCTTCGTGATTTGCCGTAACGACGACTAAATTGTCAACAACCTTGACGTCAATTTCGTCTGGCTCGAACTGCTGGACATCGAGCACAACCTGGAACTTGTCTTTGTCTGCCTTGACGGTCGAAGCTCCTGCTTCACTCGTGCGAAGCCAATCAGCCCATGGTCTGTAGTACGAAGAAGGTTTTCTTCGTGGTTGCACGTATAATTCCAGCCGGCTTGGCGTTAACAATTGTTCAGGTTGGAGACCCAAACCGAAATTCTGATCCATAAGACGATGCGGGCGTTCCAGATCCTCCCACCAGTCAGAGAACAGCAACGGTCCCAAAGACATTTTGCAGTTATTTAATTTGATAACGTTATCGAGATATTAACACAATTCTGCTTGATAATGCACTGAAGCTTTGCGCGAATTTGCGATGTTCACTGCTCTGTTGCTATGGCAAAACTAACGACACCCGGCGTCTACCGGCTGCTTTTATATGTTGGTTCGCGCATGTCGCGACGTTTCTCGAGGCTTCTAGAACCGAGCGATTATTGAGTGGCTTGGTATGTAGATACATGACAGATAATTTTAACAAGAAGTTTTAGGATGTTTATTGCAAAAATTTTATATTTTTCAATGTATCCACCTGTACTGTTAGTATTGTTTTGTCGAAATTTTGGCCTTTTATTGATGACTTTCTGAAAGGGTATAGCCGAATAAGGGGGTCAAATGTGCCCCCAAACCGAATGGAACGAGCCCGGGGTCATTCGATAGCAAAAAAAAAATAACCCATGTGTGCAAATTTTTAACTTGAAATCTCGACCGTGGGGGTAGTAATGGGGTGAAAACGAAAATCATGTTTTTGAATTATTTCTCTTGACCTATTGAGTAAAAAAATGTAAAAAAATTCAGAGACATTTCGGGTACCGGGGCACATACTTTGGGAGATTTTCAGATTTTTTGATTGAAGAACCAGGTAGTGAAAAATAAAAAACAGCAAAAAATGCCGAAAAATGCCGATTACGTATTGAAGGAGGCCCGGAACTACTTTTATACTTTTACAGTAAACAGGTATTACTATTACTATTACTCTCAATTTTTTTCAGATTTTTCATTTTGGTGCGCCGCAGTGAAAAAAAATAAAAACCGAGTTTTTCCTCGTTTTCTGCGTATTAGAGTAACTTACACGTTGAATTTTTATGCATCCTTCAATATATAAGTGTTTTGTAGACTGTTTAATGTTTCTACACTAAGCAGAATTACATAACAATTGAAACAAATAAAATAAAGCCAACCGTTAAGCGCAATATATCCTAGAAAATCAACGATATTTTCAACGGCGTTGATGGGGCAGTTGGTAGAGTGTCCGACTGCTGAACCGCTGCAAGTTTTTTTACCATAGGTTCGAGTCTCTCTTCTGGACTTAGGATTTTTTTTCCTTCATTATTTTTTTTTTCAAATTCTAACTATATAACAATGCTTTATATTTATTTATAAATGTTCTGAAAGCATTTTACAAATATTTTAACCTGAAATATGTATAAATATAGTTTTGGAGTGTTTTTTTCGTTTTTATTTTTTTTGTCAACCACGATTATTGTTTAACATCTCTTACACTGAAATTAATGTGAAATGTTAGTTTTCAAATCTCTTACCTTTGACTACTGTGAATGGATCGGAGCAGAAGATTGTATATTGGCTTACTATTACTTCTTCTCGCCCTTCGATCAAGCAGATCTTTCCTTCTTTTTCTCTTTCTTTGATAAATATGAATGTTTGCTACGGCTTCAGTATCTAACGTAGACATGTAAGGGCCATTCCACGCCAAATCTATTAACCCACTCTCTGCCAATGATACTTTTTTCTAATAAACCCATTTTTAAGTACCAGTTTGATCGTTTCATGCTTATTTTTGAATGAAGTATCATTGCTCGATGGAAACCACGGGGAAAAAATTCTATTTACGGGAACATACCAATTATCACAAGCCATATCTTACTTAGCGGAAGTTATGGATGAAGATAATAATATAATTGTTCGTTGCCTTAAGCAGACAAAAAATATTATTAAATGTGAAGTGAGATCGCGTCACATCAATAGTAAAACATATAGATGTTACATTAACTACGTACCAAATTCAATTGGTTACTCCGGGATTAAACGCTATTGTTGCGAATGTGCGAATGGTAACCGTACTGTCGGTTGCTGTTCACATGTCGCAGCAATAATTTATTATTTATCGCATGCTCGGTACCTTTCACGAATTGTACGTCCTGCAGAAATTCTGAGTAAATTATTTAATATCGAACAAGTAAATTCCGTAATTAACGTCGACAGCGACCAAGATTGAGCCATGCTTTTTTTTATTTCCAACACTTATGTCCGCCATTTACTCTCATCCGATCCATGTAATCACTTCTAACCCATCCTTCGCCTCTCCTGATGGAAGAAGCCCACCACCTTCCCGTGGTTTCCATCGAGCAATGATACTTCATTCAAAAATAAGCATGAAACGATCAAACTGGTACTTAAAAATGGGTTTATTAGAAAAAAGTATCATTGGCAGAGAGTGGGTTAATAGATTTGGCGTGGAATGGCCCTTACATGTCTACGTTAGATACTGAAGCCGTAGCAAACATTCATATTTATCAAAGAAAGAGAAAAAGAAGGAAAGATCTGCTTGATCGAAGGGCGAGAAGAAGTAATAGTAAGCCAATATACAATCTTCTGCTCCGATCCATTCACAGTAGTCAAAGGTAAGAGATTTGAAAACTAACATTTCACATTAATTTCAGTGTAAGAGATGTTAAACAATAATCGTGGTTGACAAAAAAAATAAAAACGAAAAAAACACTCCAAAACTATATTTATACATATTTCAGGTTAAAATATTTGTAAAATGCTTTCAGAACATTTATAAATAAATATAAAGCATTGTTATATAGTTAGAATTTGAAAAAAAAAATAATGAAGGAAAAAAAATCCTAAGTCCAGAAGAGAGACTCGAACCTATGGTAAAAAAACTTGCAGCGGTTCAGCAGTCGGACACTCTACCAACTGCCCCATCGACGCCGTTGAAAATATCGTTGATTTTCTAGGATATATTGCGCTTAACGGTTGGCTTTATTTTATTTGTTTCAATTGTTATGTAATTCTGCTTAGTGTAGAAACATTAAACAGTCTACAAAACACTTATATATTGAAGGATGCATAAAAATTCAACGTGTAAGTTACTCTAATACGCAGAAAACGAGGAAAAACTCGGTTTTTATTTTTTTTCACTGCGGCGCACCAAAATGAAAAATCTGAAAAAAATTGAGAGTAATAGTAATAGTAATACCTGTTTACTGTAAAAGTATAAAAGTAGTTCCGGGCCTCCTTCAATACGTAATCGGCATTTTTCGGCATTTTTTGCTGTTTTTTATTTTTCACTACCTGGTTCTTCAATCAAAAAATCTGAAAATCTCCCAAAGTATGTGCCCCGGTACCCGAAATGTCTCTGAATTTTTTTACATTTTTTTACTCAATAGGTCAAGAGAAATAATTCAAAAACATGATTTTCGTTTTCACACCATTACTACCCCCACGGTCGAGATTTCAAGTTAAAAATTTGCACACATGGGTTATTTTTTTTTTGCTATCGAATGACCCCGGGCTCGTTCCATTCGGTTTGGGGGCACATTTGACCCCCTTATTCGGCTATACCCTTTTCGCTAAATATTTTTCTTTCAATGTTAAAAAGACTGACATTACTGATTCTATGATTTTCATAATTTGTGAAATTACAATTGTGATTGTAAAAGCTTGATTTGCAGTAACTGACCTTTGTTCTATTCTCTATTATCAGAAATAAGTTTAGTACCACCAATAAAATACTTAATAAAAATATTAAAATTAAATATTGTTAGATACTTCATTTTTGTATTGTGCAAAAATTAAAATATATATGCAATAATTTATACACAATATCGATTACAACATTTCATACAAACTGATATACGTATGTATAATAAAATTATTTACGAGTTTTCTAGTATGGAAAGTATGGAAAATAATATTATGAAACATAAGAATAATAATCTTTGTAATACGTTTGTAATCAATTTTATTTCGAACACATAAATGAAAACATAATTTGTGTTTCAATAACATACAGTGTTTACATTATTGACATTAACTAATTTAAAAACTATTCTTTCTTAGTTTAATCGTTTGCATGCTTTTACTTTTAAACATTAATTGTTGAAATGTATATTTTCTGTACTGAAATCTTTGAAGTATGCATATAATGTACTTACATAGGTACGTTTCCAGCAAATTCTGCATAACGAAATCTCTAGCACTGTATCTGTTTTGTTTAATCTTTGAGAAAACTTTAGAAAACATACAGAATTACAAAAATTCTTCTTCAAGAAAGAATATTTTTCATTTATCAAAAAAAAATAATTTTAAGAAATTGGATTAAAGGTTAAATTAACTTTGTTCAGAAAGTGCGCGAAAATTCGAGACGTGTGATTCCTTGCGACTATACATGCCATTGCTTAGTCATTGATCCGAAAAAACATGTTTGGAAGCACTTTTTATGTAATATTTACACTGAAGTGAAACATTGTGAATTTTAAATATTCGTAATTGCTTGCTAGTTACTTTTAGCATTTACTGTTTCTCGAAAGTTCGATTTCTGGATAGTTCTAGATGCATGTTCGATCACTAGTACCCCCTCTACATTCTCGAGGCGTGATGAATATATATATTTTCGCGAAGCGGCCATTGCAGATAAATTCAAAGAAGCAGTTGACGACAGCGTTCGTTAGCGTGAAACTTTTGCCGCGTTTAAAGTGCAAAACTATAATAGCATTTATTTGAGAAATTAAGAAGAAAGCAAAAGTTCCACAAGAGAGAGAGAAAGAGAGAGAAAAAAACCGAACATTTTAAGCAAGTTCGTCATACACCTATTTTAACAGAAGCTACATTTTGACGCCGACGGTTGAACAAGTACAAGAAGAACAATGTCTCTGCTACCTATGTTATTCTCCAGTTGGTGGGAGGATTTGCAGAGGCCTCATCATATCTTCGATCAAAATTTTGGATTGTCTTTGAGCCCCGAGGATCTACCGTCTTCTGCATTGTCACCTTACGAAAATGATATTTTGATTCTGAAACCTCGTCGTCGTGGTTTTCAAAGATACCATCCCTATGACAGAAGCCTAAATCGTAGATCCAACGGAACATCTACGCTCGAAGCTGATAAGGATAAATTCCAAGTAACTTTGGATGTTCAACAGTTCGCTCCAGAAGAAGTGACTGTAAAAGTCTCGGGGAAAAATGTAATTGTTGAAGGCAAACACGAAGAGAAACAGGACGAGCATGGTTGGATCTCGAGGCAATTTGTACGAAAGTACCACATACCAGAACAATGCGACATTGATCGATTAGAATCAAAATTATCTTCCGATGGTGTCTTAACCATCACATGTCCAAGGAAACAACCTGAACCAGATGCAAAGAATGAAAGAATCATTAAAATTCAGGCTACAGGGCAGCCTGCTTTAAGAGATGACTCAAAACCAGTAGAAAAACAAAAAGAAGAGAAGCAAGTACAAAGGAATGCTACGCCACAAAGAGGGCAACAAGAGAAGACTGTGAAAGCAGCTTAAGAAAGACTTATTTAAATAAGTGTCTCCTTTTTTTTACAGTATTCTATCATTTTATTTTTCATTGATATAATTGCCACTTTTCATTTTATATTAATACAAGGAATAGTTAAATACATTATTCATATGTCATTCACATTGTTCCTTTATAATTGTAAGCTTAAAAATAATGTTTTAAGGATTCTAAAAATATGTACTGTACTGTTTTAAGAGAACTGCTTTTTTTGTATTACGTCATACTCGATAAGATTAGTTTGTCCTATAATTTTGTGTAATAAATAATGTTTTTGTATAATTGTCTGTATTTATTTCTCATCCATTTCCTTCATATATAAATTGTATTTATTTTTAAACCTTAAAGAAATGAAGGGGAAGGGAGGGATTGAATGATATGTTATTTTTAAACGAAATAAAACGTATATATTTAATAAATTTTCTACAAGATGTAACTGGGCAAATTTGGGTATAAATAATCTGAACAAATTGCAAAAGACAATCGTTTATAAACATTCATATAACAAATTGCAATTACAGATTTTTAATAAAAAATATAAAAGTTAACGTTTAGCATTTAGTATAAATTTAAAAAATTATTTTATTTGTCGAACAATGGACGGCAGTTCAGTATGTTAGGTTATTTACCAATTGTTTAAGCAAAATAATACAAAGTAGGCAGAAATTGTTACTGCAGTTCGTCATGTAACTATGGTCGTAATGTTTGGCAATAATCTTTTTGTCTACTCTATATAAACAATACATTATACATATATATATAGGGTTAGGTATTTAGCTATTTCAAATGCCTCATCCTATATTAATAGATGCAAATATTTTAATAGAGTTTATGACATTATTTGTTAATGTAAAAATAGCAATATTTAAAATTTATAATTAGATCTTCTGGACGGAATGAATATTTTATACAGTCATATTATCTATTTGTACGAATCTAGTGTTATTTAACCTTAATATTTTTTAAATATTCTTTTTGGTATTTAAATATCAAGAGTGTATGGGATTCTGAAAATATCCGAGATTTCCGAAGATATTCGGGAGGTAGATCCAGAGGATTCACGAAAATTTGAAATAATGGATTTTATACTTGTTATTTTCTCGATCTATTATTTTCATAACACATGTTGCAATTTAGAAAATTTGTAATAATTTTTTTGAGGATTCTACGGATTCCCGAATATCGTCGAGAATTGCAAGCATTTTTGGGATTTCGTTTCTCGAGAAAATTTCCCGATCTAGAATTTTCGGGATCCTAGACACCTCTGTTAAATACTGTTTCCATGAAATGATCATATTACACTCAGATTACAAATTATGAAAAAGTATATTATTATTAGTTTCATTGCAATTTTTATGAAAATTTTATTAGTATTCTATATTTATTTTTTGTCTTGTTTTGTATTTTTTATTCAAAGTGCTTATTTACACTATATACAAGTGTAACAAATATTAAGGGAAAAAGTAGAATCAGAAGTACCACTTCAATTCCATTGTGCTTCAGTTATACATAAATATTATTGAAACTGAATTTGTTTAAATTATTTCAAACTAATTTGATAAAAATGTAAACCTGAGTTAACCAAGAATATGAACATTTCAAAGATCATATTATGATGTTCTGTGAATATTTTAAACAGTAATTTGTATCGCGATACCTATGAGCAATAATAAAGCTGAAACAGTCATAGTAATAGAACTGTTACATCTATGATCAAAGTAACAAAAACACCATGTTACTTCGTCGTAATAATCTCTGTGAATATCTAATTGTGGAATGGAATTATTTACGTAATGTCCTAATCGTATATTCTTAGCAGCTGGTCTACAACCCTCGTATCGATCAGCTGGAATGTCTGTTCTAAAACTACGAACAGAGCTCAAACACTCTCGTGTTATGATAGTCTCGGCTGAAAAATATGTAGCAATGTAGTTGTATCAACTACCAAGGGATATCTACTGTCATTTAATATTTAAATATACTATAACACGACATGTACCTCCTTTTCTTTCAATAATTTTTACACACTTGTCATCATATTCTGGACAAGTTTCTCCCCAGTACCATAACCAATTTAAAGGTGTGCCACACCCAGGATGATTACTGTTACATCTGTAACAGTATAAGCTTTCTCCTGCAAATATGATACACGTTACGTTATAAACATGTGAATTAATATTAACCACACCCTTTCGTACGATGTTAACTTAAATGTTGTTTACCTTTGGCAATAAGTAAACTTAAGAAGAAAACAATAAAAATTGATTTATTCATTCTCATTTACGGAAATAATAGTATTTTACAATTTATTTAACACTAAATTAGGTTGATAAATATATTACTGTAACAACAAAGTAATTCTATACTCTTTCCGTACCGTGTAAATGACGTAAACCCGCGAAACCGAATTTTCATGTAGGTACCTAGTGTAGGTACTTTTACATGGTATATTCTGTTTATTTACAGCATATAGTGACCCTATAGTATATAGTAATAAACAGAGGCGACACATCGCTCCTTTTGTAATAAAACGGTGGACAAATTGTTGTTTTAGAATATGGGCAGTAAGGCAGACTATAGACAGGGTTTAGTATAGATCTATCATTTAATGGGATTTCATTCCTTTATATTTTAATTCGCATTCTGTAATTTTGAAAATATTTCCTGCCCATTTGTATTAGGCAGGAGACAATATTACAGAAGTACAGAACATAATTTAAGTTCTATAGGGAATGAAAACACTCTCGTGCAGTGTTACCAAGCGTCAATATAGAGGTGGGTTGGTACCCGTGGAGCGATGAACTGCTCTGTTCGACGAGGCGCGAAAAATAAAATTTATAAAATTTTCAAATGTAACTTCAACAATTTTATTTATTCAGACTTTTCGATAATTTTGATGTTCGCGCTACTGTCTCGAAAATTGATCTGATCTTCCGCGAAAATTTTCTCGTGGTCCTCGACGTTCGTCCCTTCTCTAGTTAAATAATATCCTGTGAGAATAGTAAAACAATAGAAAAGAAAGTTCTTATTTTTTAAGTTACATTAACACAAATGATAATCACTTATAGTTCCTTTTATAGTTACAAAAATTTCTGTAGTTCTACACTAGAGTGCGCTGCAGTGCGATTTCAGCCATTTTATAACTAGACGTAACTGTGTAGCTGTTCGTGCTGCCACCTAAAATTTAAATAGCGCGTCTCGGAAGTCGAAGCCCCAAAATTTAAAAGTTTATATTACAAAAACAAAATTCCGTATTGTTAAATGGTCTCTAAACAATGGCAGTGATTTGATTACAACGATAAAAACAAGGGGAGAAAATATTCAGAAGGGCGAACGAATATAATAAACACAAGGACAATACAATTATCATCAATTTAATATGTAGTCGATGATGTTTTTGTTATTAAATACAATGTAATGTACAATGTTGTGCTTGAAAATGATTTCTTCTAATAAAGAACCGACAATAATGTAACCTTTTATATTCGCTAATTAATCGTATAATTTCTTTTATTTTCAATTAAATCGCTTGAATAATTTCATTTTTAATGCGCGCGCGTTTATCATTAGTGTAGTTTTTACATAAAATTAGCGACGATTGATTTATCCGAGGATTAAATGGGCCTCTATTCTATTCACCTTTGGCTAAAATTTTATCTTACTTCAAATCCGAAAGCAATAATATTAACGTTCTCAATTGTTATTTGAAAGTGATGCAATTGATCATTAATAAGTAGCCACAAAAATTAATGTTACGTTAGGAAAAGTACGATCGTCGTATTGAACAGCCTGTTTCAAAACAACGATATTAATTCTTTCTTGCATTAACAATAATCAATCGGTTACGAAGGGCAGTTCAATATATATTTTTCAATACTTCAAACGAAAGGAACAATTTCAAGTAAGATATTAAGAGAATCCATCAGGGGAACTATAAATCCAGTTTTTACAAATTACTTTAATAGTAAATAGTAATAGCATTGATTTTTTGATTTATAAATATGAAACGAGTCAAACATTTTTCGAACGTAACGAATACGATAAGAAAATTAAAGATGGCGGACATAGTCAAATTGTAGGGTGGATCCAGATCTAGAGGATCTATTGGGTTAGCCAATAAATAATCTTGGATTTCTGCAGCAAGATATAAGAAGTGTTTGTACTTCAAATTTTTATTTTTGAAACGCAAATCAAAGAGAAAGGATTAAGAATTTTTTAGCAAAATACAGAAAAGTATACTTGTTTTTTCCTGTATTTTAAAAAAAATGACAACTTTCTCTTACTGGAAAATTTCGAGATTACTTTTTGGACAACCCAGTGTGATCTTCGATCGTAACCGATTGAGAGCTTCCTTTCTCCGATCGCGCTGAAGTCCCTGCTCGAATTATGATACATAAATACATACATACACGTACATAAAACGACGTAAGTTTGATGTACAATCGCAGAACGTTAAATGGCATTCGACACGTCGAGTTCGACAATCGCATTGTCGTACCCTTTCCTGTTTCCTTCAGTCGTTCGATCGATCGTTCGCACATTGTTTCGCTTAAGTGTAGGGCAGGGGTGCCCATTTACACGCCACCCGTTAACTCTTTGAGGCGCGCGTTTTAGCGAGAGATAAAAGGCGACGGAAATGCGTCCCGACGTCAGCGGGCGACGTCGGGCTTAAAAACGGCACGCTAAACAGTGCAGTCAAACAGGAACACGATTTTTAACAAGTGTCACACCTTTCAAAGTGTTTTTACAATATTCAACTAACAAACCCACAGATTTACAAGACTAACGTATTTGTTCCTCCGGATTACAACGACTTCGACACCTCGATGAATACCTTAACAAAATGGACTATTCAAACCTGGGCATTTATCACCGATGACTTTCAATATTTCCAGAATATCGAAATGCTTTTAACGACGAGTTAATTCCTTCTTATCGCTTAAGACGGAGAACAAAATGAAGCCAAAAGAATTTTTTGGTGCCATGAAACGACGAAAGTGTTACTAAGCAATCTAAGCAATCTTTCTATTCATTTTTTTTTATCATACCTCACGGTACGTTGATGTATTGGTTTTTTAAATTTAGAAGCGTCTGTCTTAAAAATTTCAATCTTGTTCGCCCCCTCCACGAATAAAGATAATTTAATTTCGATTTAAAAATACTAATCTTCTACACGCAGATAGGTGTGATTACTTACAGCAAAATCGCGATCGTTGGATTCTGTTTGCTATAGTTTCGAATGTAACAGTGAAGGTTGGGAACTAGTGACACATGGTATACACACATTACTGGTCACATACATGAGAAAAAGCAAGAAATTTTCTTTATAATATGATTTTATTAATATGACTGCCATGGTGGTCACCGGTGACCGGCACTTGTTTTTTCAAGAAATCGACTCTGTACGTATATGTGGCCAGTAATATACACATTCATCTATGTTCTACGATCAAAAAATTCTGTTTCAAGCCCCAAATAGAATCGCGAGAATGTTTCACAAGAACATGAAACTGAATTTAGGAACGAACGAGGACACCCCCGCGGCAGGGAAAATAAAAAGAAAAAGAAATAATATTATAGTCTTCTAGATCTCTAAACGAAACGAGCGACTATTGCTGCTATTAGCTGTACACGTTAAACGAACCGTTTAATTCGAGCTTCATCGATATATTCTCTACATTTTTCTGTGCTCTTTCGACGCACCGTTTCTTATTTTTTTTTTTATTTTTTTTTTTGGCGCGACTACGTTACACGCAGTCTGCGCTCTTTCGTTAACGATTAACATCTCGATAAAATTTCACGTTCGTGCTCGAAATCGTCGCTACAAAAATCTGCAGGTTTAAAATCTCAAATCGTAACAAACTTAATCGATAACGTGACGTATACGTAATACGTGTATATATTATATATATATTTCTTTTGGTTTTAATTCTGACGACGAACGCTTAATTGTCGTCCATTTCGTTCGACTTATTGTTTTGGCATTTAAAAGAGATTTCATACGTTTTAAATGTTTTCGACATTTTTAATGTATATTTCTTCGCTTGGATTGATAATCGAAAGAATTTAATTTTTAAATAAATAGTTGGTAACTCGTTTCAACTAATTCACTTCGTCGATTAGTAATTACGCCAATTAATAGCTTAAATACTGTAAGTAGTTGTTGCAAACAAATTTCTTAATGGGAATGCGATAAAAAATTTGAAGTAGCTCGATAGTAAAATGTTTGAAAATATTTTTCACGTAATTTCTTGCGAACGAAACAATCGGTTTTAAATTACTGATTGAGAGGATTAAATCAGGTGATCAGACGTTTCGATACTCCACTTGTCATGCTTCAATAGCGACACGAGCTTCTAATAGAGTCGTATAACTTTGATTACTCATCCAGCTACATCAATCGGAATTAATTGCTCCTGTCTGGGTCTCTTCTTTCGGAAACAAGAGGTTTCAATCACATTTATAATATACAACTAATGATATTATTATGTATTTTGTTCTTTTTAAGCTTTGCAATCTGATAAACGAAATTATTACGAAATTTATTCGTAACAAAAGCCTTATTTCGTGCACCGAATCACGCTGCTTCGTCGGACAGGATAGGTTGAAAATTATGGCACAATCGAGGAGAAATTTACACTTTCAAAGAACACGAAAAATCACGTCTTCTCAAGATTCTTAAAACTCGAGAGAATATAATTTGCACTATTTTATTTTTTCACATTGTACAGACGTGTCTAAAAAATCACGTCTTCTTCTGATGTAACAAAATTTAAAAAAATCGGGAGAATATAATTTGCACTATTTTACTTGTTCACACCATAGACACGAGTGTTATATTAAACTCAAAAATGTAGTCTATGGAGACTCTGTATACAATTTATAATTTTACAAGTGTTCACCAAAAAATATCAAAGTTTTCCCAAATTATATCACGACCAGATATCGATTCCACAATAAAAACTCCCATTTGCACCAAAATTTGTCACCCATCCTGTCCCTATAATCTTCAATACTCCACGAGTTACGATGGCCTGAAAAAACAATTTCATTGATCAAAAATCATACGAATCGACGATCCAAGAGACACCGTATCTCATTTCCACGTATGGAAAATGGCTTTCGTGTCCTTTTTTCTTGTCAATGTCTCTCCCCGTGTTTCGTTTTTTTCTTTCTTCGAGCACGCTGAGAGAGAAATGGAGATAAAGAGAGATAAAGAGAGAGTAAAGGGAGACGCGTTCGGTTATCAACGGCTCCTTAAATGTACTCGGCAAACATTATCCAATAAGTTACGTTTAACACGGCGAATAGGAAAGGGAAGAAGACCCGCGAGACACGATCGATGTTCAGGGCGCGCATCCGCGCCCTTTGGGCCGGTGTCGGGCCTGGCGGCGGGCCTGCTGGCGATTTCTGCGATCGGCCGGACAACAACATTGCGTTTTCCTGCGTGACAACGATCACAACTTGAACCGTCGCTGTGCAGACGTCGCTTCTGTGCCTCGGAGACTCGGAGAGATCAACGCGCGGTAGAAGCGATCGAACTATCGAATCGCCGCGACAACCGGGATTCTTTCGTCAAACTAAAACACCGCATCTTTGGTTAAACCATCCACGTGAAAGCAAATCATACAAATAATAATCAATTTTATAAAGATTTACATTCAGGCTAATTATTATCTTCCTTATTGTGTTAGAAGTGTATTTTAAACGATTCAGTTTCGGTTTTCAGATTGTTATCCGTTTAAAATTACTACTAATAAGATACTTATTTTTCTAAGAGGAAGTCTATGGAAATAGTAAAGAATATTTGTGAGATATATGGAGGAGATTCTGAAAACTCTGATTTAGAAATTTTGGTTTAGAAAATGCACTTGGTCGTGTTCTAGGCGAAAATAATTTGCAAGCTTCCACTTGCCACAACTCGTCAAATTTCATCGAGGTATTCAATCTTGACTCCAAGTGAAATTGCAAATAATAAAGTTTTCTCTCAGGCCTTATAAATTAATAATAACACATTCAAGACACATGGTACGAGTAAAAATGGCTGAATCACACGTGAATCGACTGAAAAATTGCAGTAAAAATTTCAGATAATAAAGTTTTCTCCCAGGCCATATAAATTAATAATAACTGAACCGCGGATGTTTATGCATTTATGAGAAATTTTTATTCTCAGAAAACTATAGAATGCGCTTGATATGCAAAAATATAAGAAATACTTTAAGTCAGATACGAATTATTATATTTAGGGGTGAAAACAACCCTCAATAAAGCTTCCATTTCATTAATTCTATTGATAAAAGTATGAATTTGCATAAAGATCCGCAGTCTAATAAAAACACATTGAAGCCACAAGGTATGTACGAGTAAAAATGGCTGAATCACACGTGGATCGACTGCAAAATTGCAGTAAAAATTTCAGATAATAAAGTTTTCTCTCAGGCCTTATAAATTAATAATAACTGGACCGCGGATGTTTATGCATTTATGGGAAATTTTTATTCTGAGAAAACTATAGAATGCGCTTGATATGCAAAAATATAAGAAATACTTTAAGTCAGATGCGAATTATTATATTTAGGGGTGAAAACAACTCTCAATAAAGCTTCCATTTCATTAATTCTATTGATAAAAGTATGAATTTGCATAAAGATCCGCAGTCTAATAATAACACATTCAAGCCACAAGGTACGAGTAAAAATGGCTGAATCACACGTGAATCGACTGAAAAATTGCAGTAAAAATTTCAAATAATAAAGTTTTCTCTCAGGCCTTATAAATTAATAATAACTGGACCGCGGATGTTTATGCATTTATGGGAAATTTTTGTTCTCAGAAAACTATAGAATGCGCTTGATATGCAAAAATATAAGAAATACTTTAAGTCAGATACGAATTATTATATTTAGGGGTGAAAACAACCCTCAATAAAGCTTCCATTTCATTAATTTTACTGATAAAAGTATGAATTTGCATAAAGATCCGCAGTCTAATAATAACACATTCAAGCCACAAGGTACGAGTAAAAATGGCTGAATCACACGTGAATCGACTGAAATGAAGCACGATTTGGGCGAGAAATCGAAATCGAAGCGATGGCGGACACCGTCGTTCTCTTAATTCCGAGGCACAGAAGCTGTCTGAGATGCTTGGATCTTCATCCAGGCGTTACCTTAGTGGCGATGTCGAAGATTTTGTCGAGCTTCGCGGCGGTGTCCGTGCCGCTGGAGGACGACGGCGGCGGCGGTGGCGTCGGTTTCGCGGCCGGCGCGTCCGAATCGCCGAGCACGATGTTCACCAGACAGTACTCCATCAACGCCATGAACACGAAGATCGTGCACACGGACATGAACGCGTCCACCGCCTTCAGGTACGAAACCGGAGGCAGGGACGCTTGGCTCTTCGCGTGCTGCGTGGATAGGGTCAGCAGGGAAGTCACGCCCAATGTCACTCTGGCTGGCGCCGCTTCCGGTTTTATCCAGAACGAGACCCACTACGCATGCAACACATTCCTTATCAAATAAACTTAGTAAAATAAGAGTAACAATTTAGTGACGGGAAACAGGAAGGTAAAGAATTAAAAAAATAGAAAATTTTTACAAATACAGTGGTGGAGAAACGTACCAGAGAGTTCTTTGTTAACGAGAAATAATAAAATTTTACTGCAGTTTTAATAGTTTTGTTGATCTACAATCAAATAAATAGAATTACTGAAAAAAGCACTGTCTTTTATTTTTTAATAGTAAGCTTGGAAAGGAGTGCTCTGAAGTACTTCAGAATACCAGTCAGGTGTTTAAGAAGTTCACTATGAAATTCTATGACAAAATTGATGTTAAATAAGAATAACAAAATTTGTTAAGTTATTGAGAAAAATGAATAGAATTAACTACTTGGCTGGTTGCTAGTAAACATGAAATTATTAAGGACGAATCTGACGAGTCCTTCTAGATCGAGTTTTGCTGGAACAGAGATTTCTAATGGATCGTTATAAACCACGAAAAATAAGGGAATATTCTATTAACAATTTACGAGGATACTTTTAAAAAGAGCAAAGATTAAGCTCTCAAACTCACCGACATGATGACGATCAGACAAGTAGGAACGTAAGTGTGAAACAAGTAATAGCCGAGCCTACGTTTCAGGACGAAGACTACCTCGAGGCAAGTGAAATTACCTAAACAATAAGAAAAGTTTTATAGCAAATATGGCCCATCAAGAAAACCTGAATATTAATCTACAGAATAATAATATCTTTTTAAAACTTTTTCAAACTGGGAGGCTCAATAATTCCAGTCAATTTTCATCCGATTTACTCAAAATTTTGTATGGTGATTTCTATCACTATCCTCTTCAGTAGGAACAATTAGTTCCTACGTGGTGTTAAAAGAAATATTGACTTTTTCAACAGATATTTGAGATCTTCCACCATATTATAATAAATTATTATTGTTATCTCTACGTGCAACCGAAGCAACTGTCTTGTAATTAAAAAAAATTTAAAAATAGTTCAAGAAATGTACTTTTGAAGGAATTGAACTACAAAATACAAGTCCAACAAAGATCCTTACGTCACTGAAAAGAGAAACCAGACTGGAAATCAGCATGTGAGTAACAACCATAATAAGAATTTTAGAAATTGCAAATGTAACTATTGCAACAAACCTGGCCACAAAGCAAGTTATTGCTGGCACTAGAAAAGTTCAACAACCTCAAGCAAATCATATCAATGAAAATGACGAGGTGTTTATCGTGCATGGCCAAAATAATTGCAATGAAGCGTTTACAGTTAATACCAAGAAGATAAAATGGTGTCTCGACAGCGAGGCTCTCACATGTGTAATGACAAAATGTTATTTTCACAATTGAAAACTGTTACTCGTTAGAACATGAAACCTCCCCAAAAAATTCTCGAGAATTGCTTTTATTTTCATCCGTCACAGTGGTTTCTCCCCTCAATTCCAACATTTAGACCCGCAAAATTTCTACTGCGATCGACTGTACATAGAACACCGCCATTGTCTTTGGAATATTGTCTTTTTAAAGTGTGATCGTTCGCGCGGGAAACGCGACTCGCTTCTTCGGGACGATTTCGTTCGTCGGTCGTTAATTAGGTCGAAGGGAAAGGCTCTCGACGGTATCGCGGGACAAAAAGCGCCTGTCGGGGAATAGAAGAACCGTCACTCACCGGTAGAATAGACCTGCGTGCAATCGGCCGTGTAATTCTTAACCAGTTGCAGCTGAGGCAGCTCGATGTTCTCGTCGACGACGAGTGGCACGTCGGGATCCCACTGGAAGATCATTTCATCCGTGGTGTGCGACACTGTTGACCGAGTTGTTTTGTCCTTGTCAAATCGTACACGGGATTCGTAGCGCAATTGCTAAAAGATCTTCACCGATCGGCCCTACCACGAGATACGTCGCTCGAAACCCTTAACGATTCCCTTTCAACCGGAACCACCCGAACGGATCGAACAACGTCACTCAGCCGGCGGAAGTCAGCCAGGAACACCGTTTTCGCGTTCTCAACGAAATAATCGCGCTTTCGAAGCGCCCGGGACTTAAAGTCTGGCTCAGTCCAGTAATTCGTTCGAGCTTACTGTTAAACTTAGCGTATAGAAAAGTGTCCTGATCAATACGGTCGAGCCTTCAGGAGCACCAAACTTGTCGAAAATATTGTTACTAGGAAATGGAGAAGTAAAAGTCTGAACCAGCCTGTACAGCAACTGATGAGGGAGAGTTGCCAAAATTGGTGGTACAAATCAGATCAAGCAGATATCATATTTTTACTGTTTATACTTACTAATAAATGTAATTTATCAAGATTAATTAATCAGATAAAGTTTACTTGTTCGTTTCATTTTAATGGAAATATTGTCCTATTTTATTTGTATCTGTAAGTTGATCCTTGTAACATACACTTAAAATGAATATCAATATTCTAAAATGACTTTCACGAACAACGTGAGCACATGGAATAAAATGAAAAACAAAAATAACACTGCACTATATTTTTGTAAGCTATATAATTGTTTCTGTTTATTTAACACTTTGACTGCCACGTCACCCATATATGGGTGACAAAGCTTTTAACAGTGAAACTAAAACAATTTAAAATGTTAAAATGTTAAAGAAAATAAATTTTAATAGGCTTTGTAAATTTTAATGAGGTTACGAAAGTAACTATTACGACAACTTTTAAGTTGTGTAATATACCATTGTCTAAAATCAAAGTTTTGGTTTCGTTGACAATTTTAGGATTTTAGACTGGCAGTCAACGTGTTAAAATGTTTATAGCATGCAGAAGACGATACATCATCAGTCAATGTTTTATTTATACTTTTCGTGATTCGATTCTTCTTTCTATTCCAATAAATTGTAGAATAACAGTTTTTCAAGTGGAAACGTCAACGCATAGTCAGACGGTTGCAGCGACTGGCCAGGCGCGTCTGACTATTTCTCGATATTTCTACTTGAATCGATTGTCAAGTCTCGTACTACTTATTCTACATTTTCTATCTCATTTTTTCACGTAAAATCGAACTAATTGAGCAACTCTCCCGCATGTAAAATCGTGCCTCCTGATAATTAATGGAAATAGAAAATAAAAAACCGGGAAACAAATCGTCGATTTGTATTTCGTTAAACGCGAGCAAAGAGGTTTGAAGTTTTGGAGAAGTAACACTCACAGCTTTCCATTTGCAGCTTGCATTCCTGCGTGTCGTGAGGGTAGATCAGGAAATTCATGGCGCAGGAAAGTTTTAGCGTTAATCTGAAACAACGATGCTCTTTTTTCACGTAAAACTAAAGGAACAGAGATTTCGTGCAAGAAACTATCTCGGGAAATCATTTGAAAGATATTATAAAGCACAGTTAAGCGAGAAATATTTAAAAGAGATATCAAGCAGAGAATTTGAAAGAAAAATGAATACACGAAAATAGTGGAAAGTGATTGTTAATTGTATTTAGTGATTCGAAAAGCATTTCGACTCTTACTTGACCATGTACAGAATAGTCTTGTCTTTGTACAGCCACAGATAGTGATTAGGTATGGTCATCGTCTGGAACGTAACGGATTTGGCGTTCTTGAAGAACGAATCCGGCCTCCACATGTTCTTCAGCCAGTCCACTTCTAGTAATCTTAAATTATAGAAATTAAAACGATACTCCATCTCTACTGTCGCGACAGGAACTCCCCGTTCATGCATTTCTCAGATTTAATCCGTCATTTCGTTGTTTGTTAAACAATGCATTGATCCATTTTGCAAAATTATATTTTTATAAATCACATACCTATATTCAGACGTCATATTTTCTGGTAGTCGCAGCCTGTTGTCTTTCCAGGTTTGAGCGAAAAATATGTCGGCTGCGTAAGTCTAGAAAAGCGAATCACGATAATCAATAATTCCACGTTTATCGGTTGTTTGATTAAATTTACAATATCCTCGATAAATCAGAAAATATTTTTCCCAACTTACGAAGTAAAGAAAAATCGAAAGAACGTTAATATTACGATAAAAATATTTTTTGAAGATGAAAACTGCATTTGAGGTCGAATTTAGGATATCTATTATACGAATATCATTTATTTGATCATTTGTTTATCCAAATAGAGACAATTGGCAGCTCTGGAGACACGAGAGGAAATTCTTATAAATTCTCCTATTATTATTTTAAAGCCACAATGGCGTAAAGTAAACAATTCCTCGAACATCCTCGATTAATTCGGATAATTGAGATCGTAATGTGCTTGAAAGTTGGAACTTTGATTTTTATTATACACGGTACCATTGAATTCTCGTCGATGGAGTCGAGACCCATAACGGTGACGTGAAAGTAGACTACAGTAGCTTGTCCATCTTTCTTGGGCGGTCGCATTTTATCGTAAAGTTTCGGGTCCTCTGGCAAAAGATCGTAGAACTCCAAGCTCCTCCTGAAATTGCAAGTCTCGCTCTGAATTTTAACTTAATCGAACGAACTATACGTCGATCGTTGGAACAGCTTAAAACCATTTATCAAATCTTCTTATATTTTAAAAATCAATTTAAATACTCGATCATAATAATCGACAAATCTATCATGTAAATCATGTTTTCAATGTTGGTTGGTACAAAAAAAATTTTACATATATATATTTGTAATTTAGTCGAATCTAAGATGGATCCTCTTGAAGTACATAAATAATCTAAAATAAATAAACCACATTCTAAACAGAAATTTAACTGAATATTAATTTCACAACCAAAAGAATTCAACTCATTTCGTCGTACTTGACAACAGTTTCTCTTTTTTAACAAAAATTGTAAATACTAAGATTTAATAAATATTCCCAAACTGTTCCGACGGTCAACAAATCTTTCATTCAATTATCGATTGGACAGCACTAAAAATCCAAATCATTATTAGCTTCATCGATCATTTATTTATTCATTCTCGTATTTTTCCATGTATGTTGCCATTAGCCAGCCATTTTGCAACAAAATATTTCAGATTTCGATCTTGCACGATCAACCGAACGATAAATTATAGAATCTAAAGAGGATTTAATCTTCGAAAAGATGCTTTTTTCCCTTTCTGCGAGCACTTCATTCCCCGTTTCAACGTCTCCCTTTCCGCGGAAGAAGAACAACGCCGTGGTTTCACTGGGCGGTTTCATTGTTCGCGAACACATCGTGCACGAGTCACACACAACCCAGAGTGTCACGATTCGAATCACAAAAACCCGGAACCGCTTTTCGACGCACCGTCGCGCCCGTTTCTTGCACTTCGTTGAGTTTTCTTTCAACACATTAGCACGGCTGCTTCGTTTCACGCGCGTTAACCGCAACTTATTACTTTCGCGCGAGATATCTCGAATCGAAACCGTTCTCATTAATTGGCCTACACTTTCGAGCACCACACGCGCAACGCACACTGCACTTCGCACGAATGTCCACGACTCTCGACAAATAATGGTCGATTCAATTTAAAACTCTCGTTGAAATTCTTATTCGAGCACGAAGGTACGAGAAGCTTGAAATTGGTTAAAATTTTTGATGCAAATTAGAATTATTAAAGGGAATTAAACAGAAAATTAGCTCAAATTGCTGTGTGTATCTTGAGATGTTTGTTTTGGTGATTAAAATAGAAATTCATTGGAAAAAAAATAGTAATCAGTGAGACATAGGATTTATACTTGAAACTCTTATTTGAGCAGACACGAAGGTACGAGAAGCTTGAAATTGGTTGAAATTGTATGTGGAAATTAGAGAAATTAATTTAAATTGCTGTGTGTATCTTGAGATGCCCATTTTCGTAATTAAAATAGGAATTCATCGAAAAGAAATAGCAATCAGTGAGACATGGAACATGAGCTTCTTCTTGAAAAGGTCTCCAGAATCTTGTCGAAGAAGTTCTACATTAAATTGTTGTGGAAACAGAAAACGTGATGGAGCAAATAGCAGAAAAATACTACTTAATAAGAGACATACTTTAAATTTTCTGGAAGTAAATAATTGCAGGAAACATAGATACTTTCCAAGCTCCTCGTACGTAAAGAAACTTCTCACTGCTAAAAACTAGCAACAAACGATCAGAAATACCCAATCTTGCAAATAAACTAAAATAAAGAATAGTAAAATCTGTTGAGGTGCAAAAATAGTACATTTAAGGTACAAAAAGACTAATATTTTAGTGCAGTTTCGTAGCAAAAGAGAGCTTCAAGTTCGAAGACTCTTCTTCGAAGAGTTGCATCGAAAAACTATTTGCAAACAAAAGGAAAAACAGAACCAAACGGTCCTAGAGATATGAACGGGGGTAAAAGTTCGATTCGTCGAAGCACGACACAGGATGAACCGTAGATCCGAAGAAGAGGAGCCCGTTGGCGCGCCAAGATGGCCGACGTGTCGGCTACCAAGGCGCAAAGTGGCCATCGCGATTCTTACTGGGCGTCCGCGGCGCGTCCGAGCAGAAGAAGAAGCACAACCGAGGAAAGGATTGCGGAAACCATGCCGCCTCCATGTGCCTCGTCCATCGACATCCTTCGTCGGTTCCTCCTCAGCGCATCTTCCTCGTACCAGAAGCGGAAGGGAACCGAGAAGCAGCGAGAAACGGAAGTGACGCGCGATAGGATGGCGAAAAAAGAAAAAAAAAAACGAAGAAGTCGAAGGATGTAAAAGAAAACTAATTCGTAGTCCTTCGACGACGAGAGACGCGGGGCTCTGGCTGTCGGCCCCTTTAGCCTTTTCTCTCCCCCTGATACGTTTTATTCCCCGATTCGCGAGGACGTGCGACCGTCGACTGACTTCTTCAAACGACTTTGCCGAAGCTGCAGAATCCTCATCGTCGGCCGTAGAGAGGCAGAGGTGGAGGTGGCTCGTTGGTAGCGGTGGTGGTGGCGACTGAGGTGGTGGACCAGCATCGATATACCTCGCTGCCACCCCGCTTCTTCCTCTTAACTCGATACAGAGGGAAGAAGAATGGGAAGGAGGGGCAAACTCACGCTCGTGACGTACACGAAGACAGGTTGGAAAGGGTCGAGAGTATCGCGGAGGACCGCCGTGGAAAAAGAAGTGGTGGTAATCCCTCTGGGGTTTCGTACCGTCGCGATGCCGCCACGACACGAATTTACCCCAATGCGGCATGTCCGCGGGCATCCTCCGATTGATGCCGTAATCGCGCACTTCGAACACACTCGCCGCGGCGCTAATTGCGACGATGAATGCTAAAGGAAGAATAACGCAGGGAACGGGGGGACGCGTCGAGGCTCCGCGGATCGCTGGCGAAGTCTTCGACGAAGCTCTTACGGACGCCACCGGTTCGATGGATCGCCAATCTACGACAATTTGGACGAATGTCAGGTTTGGGGATTCACAGAATTTAATTTTCAGTGCAAGTTGTTGGAAGAGGCAACTATAGCAAAGAATTTTCTAAATTGATTTTTGTCAAGCCTAATAATCGTGATACCTGTTCAAAGTACAGAGTATTCAGAATGCCCGAATAATTGGTATATTTACCCCGATTATTTGGTAAATGTTACGGATTATATTTCACATAAACAAAGAAGTCAGAGCAGTGACGTCGATACTAAACAGTTGGCGAATAAAGAGTAGGAATTTTATATATTTTATTTTTTAGTAATTAGTTGTATTACTACATTGTCCATGACTGTGATTATTAAAAGTCAAAAACCAAATTTTTAAGAAAAATCGACAGGGGCTAGGTGACTAAATTTTTCGCCGAAAAAAAAAATTACAAGTCGTTCTAAAAAAATTATTTGCGGTTACGGGGGTCAATTTCAATCATATTTGTTGAATACACATACCCCCGAAATCTTACACATTTCTGAGAAAAAAATTCGAGTATGTGTGAAATTTTTCGGCAAAAAAAAAATTTTTCTAATAGTTCTAAAAAAATTATTTTTAGTTGAGGGAATCGATTACCATCATTTTTGGTAAATAGACATACCCTCGAAAACTTACACATTTCCGAGAAAAAAATTCGAGTACGTGTGAAATTTTTCGGCGAAAAAAAATTTTTCAAATCGTTTTAAAAAAATTATTTTTAGCTGTGGGAGTCGATTACCATAATATTTGGTGAATAACATTCCCCCGAAATCTTACACGTTTCCGAGAAAAAAATTCGAGTATATGTGAAATTTTACGGCGAAAAAAAATTTTTCAAATCGTTTTAAAAAAATTATTTTCAGTTGAGGGAGTCGATTACCATCATTTTTGGTGAACGGACATAACCCAGAAATCTAACACACTTCCGAGAAAAAAATTCGAGTATATGTGAAATTTTACGGCGAAAAAAAATTTTTCAAATCGTTTTAAAAAAATTATTTTTAGTTGAGGGAGTCGATTACCATAATATTTGGTGAATGGACATACCCCCGAAATCTTACACATTTCCGAGAAAAAAATTCGAGTACGTGTGAAATTTTCAGGCGAAAAAAAATTTTTTAAATCGTTTTCAAAAAATTATTTTTAGCTGAGGGAGTCGATTACCATCATTTTTGGTGAATAGACATACCCCCGAAATCCTACGCACTTTCGAGAAAAAAATTCCTGACCGAAAATATAATGTCTGGCCAAACGTTGATTCGTTCTCCTGAAATTTCATGCATATGTTTGAAACATCATAACTCCTGAACGGATTCGAGGATTTTAATGTTTCAAAAGGCAAACGACGCGTATTTTGGTGAAGAATATGTAGCAATTCTAAAAATATTCGAAAAGTTGTGTCTTACCCAAGTAAAGTGAGAAAAAACCCCATAAAAGTGGTCTAATTTTCAAACGACCATAACTTCTACAATAGTGAATATATTTCAATGAAATTTATTTTCAAAATAGAGCTCATGGATTCTTACAAAAAAGTATTACACAACATTTCTGTACAGCATCAAACATATTTATTAAAAATCAAAAACGAATTTTTAAGGAGAATCGACCTAAATTTTTCGGCGAAAAAAAAATTTCAAATCGTTCTGAAAAAATTATCTCTGGTTCCAGGAGACAATTACAATCATTTTTGGTGAATACACATATCCCCCAAATCACACGCACTTTCGAGAAAAAAATTCTTTTCCAAAAATGTAATTTGTGGCCAGAAATGATTCTGTAATTTCATTTTCTGTCTCACTTCTTCTTGTGCTCATTTATTTCGATATTGGATTCTCTATACAAAAATGAAGATGGCTATCGAAAATATAAAAATGCTTGTCCTTTTATAGCCACATCTAGACTAATGTGTTTATGAGGAAGAATGAACGAAGGTATAGCACAAATTAATTCAAACCGTTTTTAAAAAAGTATTCAAATGCAAAAAGATTGAATCATCCCCACATACCCAAATTTAATTTTTCAAAATTGAATCAAGCCTACAAAATTGTTCCTTTTTCTGAATCGACCAGACTTTAACGATCGAGTGAAGCAAGAATTTAATTTATTTCTGGATTTTAAGGTTTAAAACCTAGTGACAGCGTGATTATTCAAAAGCAAGAACCACCGTAACGTTTCGTTAAATCCGAATTACTATTTTCCACTCGTAAGGGACCCGATTAAAGCATCGCGCGAAGTAGCTGAATTGTTTCTATCGCCAGAGACTCGTCATTGGAATTCCGTGGCCGCGAAGACGTGTCTACTCGTTACGATCCTCAACGGGGGTGCACGTAACGAGTAGCGAAGAACAGAATATCAAGGCGGGCTGTTTTTCGTTCCTTTGATCTTCCCGCGACTTAACACGCCGGGAGAAGACCTGGATATGTAATTAATTCGCGTGTCACCTAAGGTCTTTCGTGGAAATAAAAAGAATACGATAGTTCGCGACTCTGTTAAAACTGGGTTGCGTGGCTGTTCAGCCGCTTTTGATGTAATCAACGAAAACTGTGGCTTGTTCGGGGCTGAATTTATTTGCATTTATTATAGATTTATGTAAGAACACCGGTGATAATATATTCAAGTATTGTGCTAAGCGGCGGGTAAGTGAACGACGCCAATGAAAGTAATTTCTGGTAAAAAAAATATAAAACGTTCCACTCTGTTCGATTCTAGAAGCCATTTTGTGATATCTTATTTTATTTATTCGATGGTGGACTTCACATTTGTGATTTAGAATAATTCGAACAGGGTCAAGTTTGGAGTGGAAAAACCTCGTATATTAAATAGTAAAATTGTTATAGAGATTCTAAGCATCATTAGAGGATAAAATTCGAAGTATTTACTATATTTACTTAGGGGCACGTAAATCAAATATAAGTAATAACGTGTTGCTTTCCCTTTTCTTACGAATCACTTCTTAAGATTCCTTATTAATAAACACTTAGAATAGAAGATCCCTAAATGTGTTTCCACAGTTTAACAGCCATTTTCTATTCGCTCCTGTATTATAAATTGTGTTATTCAAGGTGCTCTCGAAGAGTAAATTTACCACGTCCATCTTTCACCAAAATTCCCAAAACTCGAAACAGAAATCTATAATTCCAAGAATATTAATTTGTCAACCCCCAGTCTGTTTCCTAATAATGTGATGTCGACTGTATTAATAAACACTTAGAATAGAAGATCCCTAAATGTGTTCTCAGAGTTCAACAGCCATTTTCTATTCTCTCCTGTATTATAAATCATGTTATTCAAGGTACCCTCGAAGAGAAAATTTACCACGTCCATCTTTCACCAAAATTCCCAAAACTCGAAACAGAAATCTATAATTCCACGAATACTAATTTTTCAACCCCCCGTTACGTTTACCAGGACTCTCCCATTTGGTGGAGTCTGGAACCCTGTTTTTACCCCGTATACGGTAGTTCTACCCCCATATTTGGGGTGTTTCTGACAAAATTTCGTGTAACACAATAGAGGCAATGAAAAGGTATTCGAAACTCGAGCGGTGGTGTGCATCGTTTTATATTTACGCCCTTCAGTGTCAATAGCTGCGCAATCATCGAACCCACCCCTAGAGATGGACCATGAAAAGTTTGGATATTTTATAAATTTTCAAGCTGAAATTTTAAATTTGTTTAATTAACTTAACGACGCTACCAAGTTTTACTTTTTGGTAGTTGCAATACATAACAAATATTGTCATTAAAATGGTGTCACCGATAAATGCCATTCTCAGTCGAAGAAAACCGAAACCAATGTTCCATTTTGAAGCCTCATTCTTTACTACACGACAAGGGAATTCTCATTAGTGGCGTCATAATTAATAATATTAGTGTCCTCGAACAGCTTGATATTTCTCGTAAAATATTTGTTCGAAAGGAAAAGGTGGAATATAAACTCGAATAATAATTTTAGAGAAATATGTATTATAGAATGGTGTAATCTAGAACTTCAGAAGTGAAAGAAAAATTGCACATTAAATGGGTTTTCCACTACAGTAGTGCAAACTATAAAACGAACCAATTAAAAATCCACCATGTCCATCTTTCACCAAAGTTCCCAAAACTCCAAACAGAAGTCTATAATTCCACGAATACTAATTTTTCAACCCCCCGTTCCGTTTACCAGGACTCTCCCATTTGGTGGAGTCTGGAACCCTGTTTTTACCCTGTATACCCTGTTCTACCCCCATATTTGGGGTGCTTCTGACAAAATTTCGTGTAACACAATAGAGGCAATGAAAAGGGATTCGAAACTCGAGCGTTGGTGTGCATCGTTTTGTATTTACGCCCGTCGGTGTCAATAGCTGCGCAATCATCGAACGTCAGAATGGCAAAACAGAGAAAACGAGGGATGATT